AAGCAGGAAGGAAAAGTTGAAGTGGCTGCTTTCTGACTCAGACAGAAAACAGCAGCAAATGACCTTGCAGATGTAATTTTTAAGAAAGGGGAGGTCTGCATTAGAATGGGCTGGGATGCAATAGTAAAGGAGGAAGCTGAAGGGGACAAGGGGAAGGGGGAAGGAGTATTTGTCCCAGAGGGTCAAAGGACTCCCTCTGGATAGAGAGGAAACAGACACAGCACACAGGCAAATGACATTTTATAAAAGTAAAGGGGGAAACCCTGTATTAGGATGAGGTGTTTAATTTTAATTGGGCATGTTAATTAGGTGAGCCAAAGTTGGGTTCTAACTGCTGGACTTTGATAGTCAGCCTCAGGAGGAGGAAATGGCCAAATAAGGAAAGAGACCTTGGTGGGTAGCTTTAGGAATGCAATCTGACAATTTTTAGCAAAGCAGAGGGAATGGGAGAGAAGGGCAAAGCCTGCCAGAGCCATGCTCACCAGTCTCAAGCTGTCCAAATCCCTCAGTGTTAACCTCCTGTTGCTTCTGGCACATTTTGGAGGCGCTGTAAATTTGATTCTATCATACACATTTTATGTTCTGGATTCTAGCTTATGGGAACTGCTCTGAAGCTTGTATTTCAAGTACATTATTCTAGAAAGGGTTTGGGTTTGCTTTTGGTCAGGGCTTGGGGCACTACCGAGAGTCACAGTAAATAAAATAAGTTCACTCAGAGGCTTTCAGGACACAGGTTGAGAAAAATCTACTTACAATGGGAAGGGAATGACTGGGTTGGGAGTTCTGATAGTAGACTTCTCGCACCCTAGTGCTGAGGCCTGTATTCTCCATATCATATGTACAGCTCTGAAGAGCTTCACTTGTGACATGACCTTGTTAGGATGTAATGTTCTACTTTGCTCAGACTTCATGTCTTTAACCAGTTTTCATCTGTCTCCTGACTTGGTAGACAGCTACAAAAATAGACACCTAACAGATGCCCCTCCGATACAGTCAGTGGCTTCTGTACTTATTTCTCTCTGTTCCTTTTGCTTCTTAGGATTCTTTTATTTCTCCACAGATGATCTACTTAATTTGAATTTGGGGGTTCAAGGTTGTTTTTGTTTTCATTTTAATCAAACCTAAGTTTTCTGAGTAAGTTTGTTGGGCTACCTACCCATCAGCCATTCCTTAGACACACACACACACACACACACACACACACACACACACACACCTTGCTAGGAGGAAATTCACATTTTGCCCTGATGAATCACAACCACCTTGTGTACAGTAAAAAACACAAAGATAACAGAAGATAAAGTATATACATATAATACACTTGGACATTATGTCAGTTAAGTAAACACTTGAGAAATTAGGACCTTACTGTCAATGCATAACTTTCTTCTCTTACTTGACACTAGCCCTCAAATTACTGGAAGGTGCTAGACAGATTGCTGGGAGAGAGCTGTCATCAATAATATTACTCAGCTATGGACCCTGCAAACAACAACACTGACCAGCCAAGCCTAATGGGCCCATTGGTGCAAATGGCAAGTCCGTTGGTTGAGAGTAACAAAAATACTTTTTATTGACTTTGAGGCCACTCCCCAGGATGGAATTCACATCTAGTACTGTAAACTCGTTCAGAAGCCCAGGGCTGGGGAAGCCATAGGCCCTAGTATGGAACCTACTGTAATTAGATTGCCTTCTAAGTAAGTATGCTTGTCTACAGATTAGTTGCTGTCTGCTTTGATCAGAGACGCTTCCTGCAGTAGTCAGAAAGTCATACTTGATTAGAGTGATGAGAAGTCACTACATTAAGCACTCCCTTGAAGGCTTGGGAACATTGAAGAAGGGTAAGGAACCTAGATGCTGAAGGGAGGGGGAGAGGGAGTGGCAGGGGCACTTCTGGACATCACTGCTGTGTCACTCGAACTCACAGCAGCTGTGATTACCTGCACAAGACTTGGCCTGTCAACATCTTCTCATGGAGGGATCCCACCCGTAGTGATGGCTGCTGAGAGAGGAAACATTTTCCCAAGTGGTGTGGCCACTGGTAATGTGACCATGTTTGTATGAACAAACCCTCTTCATGCTCCTATAAACCCTAGTGAAACTTACTGAGTCACAGAAAAAGACCTGTAAATAGAAGGTAAGAGGTTAGTTGAGAAAAGAAAAGAGCAAGACAGTAATGGGGGTTGGGAGGTGAGGGGGGGAGGAAAGTATGATCACAATACATAATATACACAACAAAAAAATGTCACAATAGAACCCATTATTGTGTATAATTAATATATAATACACCACTTTAAAATGTCTTGGGGATTGGAGAGATGGCTCATGAGTTAAGAATACTGCTGTTCTTGCAGAAGACCTGTCTTCAATTCCCAGCACTCACAGGCACCTTTAACTCCAGCTCTAGGGAACCTGACCCCTTCTCTTCTGGACTGTGCAGGGACATCACATGTGGCTTACAATCCCACAGACAGACAGATATAAAAAAACAAAATGTTTCTAAGTTCCATGGTGTAACTTACTTGTGGCTTTGGTTTTTGTACTAAATACTTTTTTCTCAAAGGACTTTGATTTTACTTTTAATTATATATATATTAAACACATATACATACATACATACATACACACACACACATACATGGGTGCGCATGAGTGCAGGGCCTATGGAGGACAAAAGAAGGTGTAGGATCCCATGAGGGTGGAATTACAAGGGTGCTGAGAGCCACTCTTGGGTCTTCTGGAAAAACAGAACAAGCTCTTGACCATTGAGTCATCTCTCCAGCCCATTAGATATGTCTAAACCACTCGACATACAACTGAAATGAACAAAGTTAAATGTTCTCCTTGTCTTCACCCCAATCAGCATGATCTTTTAAATGTACTCAAAATATAGAAGAATGCTGGTAAATGAATGGGAATAATAACTGTATCCAGAAACTTTTCAAATTATTTAAAGGCTTTTTTAAAGTCATATTTTCAATTACACATCCATACTTCATATTCAAAATATCCTGAATAAGGAATATGGTTCTAAGCATTCTGACAGAATTCCTGGGTGAGCCTTGGCATCTGAGTCAAAGGGTAAACACCCAGTTTACAAGTACACCCTTCAGTCTTGGATAACTTATTATGCTCATAGTCATTCAGGAGAATGGCAAGCTCCCATGTTACATGCTCACTTTCTGCATCCACCAGCTGTGAAGGCCACTCACAGTCTGCTAACTTCCCTCTGCTTTAGCAGTGTATTGTTAGTAACTGAAAAGGAGAAACTATTTTACCTTCAGACCTCTGCTGTGTCCCCCCCCCCCATCCCAGCAGCTGAAGAACTATTCTGCTCCAAGTGTCACCCCTGGGAAGGCAGACTAACTTTTAGGATTTCCTGGCTCTTGTACGTGCTCAGTAAAACCACTATGCAATTGAGGCAAATTTAAAGAAACTGAGTTTTATATCAAAACCATGGTGGGAAGGTGAGGAAGTAAATGATCCTTACAGCAGAGAGCAGAGGAGTTAGATGAAAAGACAAGGGGAAGAACAAATCCAGAGGTTGAGCTGTGTGAGTGACCCAACTATACCATCTGTAAGCATTGCGGCTTGGATTCTGGCACTTGGGAGCCAAAAAATACTGATTGTTGCAGCTTGAATGGAAAAATATTCTGGCAATTGGGAGCCAAAGAATACTACAGGTCACAGTAAGCGTTTTCTGGCACTTGGGAGCCAAAGAATACCAGAGGTCATAGCAAGCATAGCAGCTTACAGCCCAGCTTCGGGGAAAGGCTTTCCCGGTGTAATAGCTTTGCTCCAGCAGGAGAGGGTTCCCAGAGAGGTTGTTACAGTACAGTTAGGTTCAGGTCCCCTGACTGTAACAACTGCTTCACTCGGGGAAGGTTGCCCTGCTGCGCTCCACTCCGCTCTTCACTCCTCTACTCTGTTCCAGCTAAGGAAGATCTCACCCAAACCTCATTCAAGATACTTATTGGTAGGGAAGAGTCCAGGAGAGTGGCGTTGGGTTAAGGTTGCTTCTGCCAGGGTAGAAGAAGACAGCCACAAGCTGAATCAGCTTATGGGTTTATATAGGGCTTCTTGGGGGCAGAGTTTTTCCAGATTTCCAGGGTGGGAATTGGTCAGATTTCAACTCCTGAGCTCAGATTGGCTAAATCTAGTGCTCAGGGATTGGCTGGTTTTCTGCTCAGGGGCAGGGGCAGGGGCAGGGGCAGACTTGGCTCCGCTTTCAAGGCCAAAGTGTATTGCTTTCACTGGTCCTTTTTAGGCTTTTGGCTCTAATTTTAGGGCCAGGGTGTATTTCTTTCACTGGCTCTGATTCCAGGGACAAAGTGTGTTTCTCTGGCACTGGTTTGAGGGTCAGGGTGCATTTCTTTGGCTCTGGTTGCAGGGGCAAGTGTGTTTCTTTGGCTCTGCTCAGAATGTGTTTCCTTGGCTGGCTCATTTTCCCTACACCATTTACTTTGGCAGTCAGCCTGGGGACACATCAGCATGGACCTGCTGTTTCCAGCTCTATAACAGACATCTATGATGGGGTACATCCAGGCCAGGTATGACAGCAACACTTCCTTCACTCTTCCTGCTCTTGTGGCTATCAATACAGTTTAAAATTTCTGATCACTGTTGCCAAAAACCTGCTAACAAATTATTTTTTAAAAAATATAAAATACTATGTGAAAGTATATGTATGGGCTGTGATATTAGAGTTTTATCTAATAATTTTTCATAAAACAACTGGGAAGATGGAGTATAGATACATGGTTCTGGATACCTGCACAATCATTTATGTTTTACAGCAATAGAAATGAAATGAGCAATATTTACTAACAATGAAAGTAAAATGCTGGCTATAATTAAGACTGCACCAATTTAAAAATGCTACATGCATGTGCATTTCAAACACTAGTAAATCCTTCAAAATGAAATACTATGGATTGTGGCCTAGAAATGTGAGGCCCGGGATACCGTCCCAAGCCCTACTAAAAAGGAGTACACACAGCAAGGTTTTGGGTAATTTATTCACAGTTCCGGTATAGTCACTGGATTTAACAGGACATGAGGATGAAATAACCATCTGGCTCAGAAAACTAAACATTCATTTAAAAGAATACAAAATCAAAACAGAGCAATGATTATTCCTAAGCCCCCAGTCCCACAGAAGTATAATTTAAACAAATATCAAAACTTGATCAATGGAAAAACACATTCAACCAGAGAACACTTAACAAGACCATTTCCATACCCACTCTGGAAACTAGTACAAAAAACAAGCTAATGTGAGAATTTCCTAAGATGTCCTCATCAGCCTTGTATTGTGGTATCTTTTCTAATACAACACTCTCAGGCTAGATTGGACTTAACAGTTGACACAGCAGAACTTAACAGTCTTCCTTAATTATGGACATTAGTATTTGAAGCCAATGTTGTCAGTTTTATTATGTCACTATCCCAGATCTGAGGATGTTTAAATCCATCAAGCTATAAAGATATTGAAATACTTATTAACAATCTTTAAATACAGTGAGAAAGACCAACTTATATGTTAAAACTTTAAAACTTGAGAGTAAACAAAGTCATGAGAAATCCATCACCAAGTTTAAAACACTGTTGTATTCTTGGAGACACAACTTACCAAACGTGGATGTCATGAACCAAAATGTCTTTACCATTCCCTTCCATTTCTTTGGCCTTCCTAAATTCAATGTGAATTATGAATTCTTTTTTAATAAACATTTCCCAATGACATTGTGCTTTTAAATTTTTTAGAAAAATCATACCAGTTATATAATAAACAGGTAACCTTGGTTTCTTTTATTGCTATAGAATATCCTAATTGTAAAAAAAAAAAGATAAAAGACTAATCCCCAAAACTGAAAGTATTTGTTAAAGTTCAGCTAGTTTCCTTCTCTAAAGAATGACAAAAATGACTTTCAGAAGAATATTACAAGGGACCAAAAACAGGCTCCTTTTCTCTCACCTTCAGAACTACTTAAGTTAAAAGCCCTGGATGCAAATGGAGATGACCATATGACCATATCATGTCAGAAACAACCTGCTACACAGAAAAACTCATGTTAGCTTTCTGAACTAATGACCTCCGCATAGTACCCTGTGACACCCCTCCAAGGAGCATTCGACAACTTAACATCTTGGTATATTATTAACTGCTTTTCTTTATAGTACCATAGATCCATGTATCTATTGTGAATAGACTGGAACATAAATGTGGACCACTGTTTAAGTAAATAAATCCATTCACAGCATTTAACAACACCTCAGTCCAACTCCATCTTTCCACTCTCTCACAAGAAACAGGTCCACCGGGGATAATCAGAACTACTCCAAAGATGTAGTTCTGCTGCCTAACACAGCAACCTGCTCATAGCAGGTGTTTATACACAGCTGCTGACATATCACAAACTAAGTGAATAGTACATTTTCTATAGCCTTTTTACTCCTATGGCATAGATAATTTTTTCTTTTTTTACAGCTGACTTCAAAGTAACCATTAACTGGGCCATGAGTCAGGTGCCTACCCCACAGTCCTCCCTGCCTAGCAAAAGCTCCCAAGGAATGATATATGTGTGAACTTAAACTTTGAACACACTACAAGAAAGAACTTTTCATAGAAAGCCTCCCCTTTGCAGAGGTATTTTTGTTTTGAAAAACTAGATTTCTGTGTCCTGTATTATACCAATTTTAACTGGGCCTACTCATCCACTCAGTGGCTTGCCTCTCTAAAACATTAGGGTGCTAAGGATTAATTTAGTAAAAGAATTTAAGCACAATGTATTAACCAGGGTAGAAAGCAAAATGGGATAGGGATAATATTTGTTTAGGAAATAATACTCTGGTCTTCATTTGCGTCTTTGACTATTTAGTCTTTAGGATTTGTCCTGGCTTGGAGTGTGTATGGAAGGGAAACTGGTGAATGGGTTCAAAGTCAGAGCCAGACAGCAGAAGAAAGTTCTGATGTTCCATTACATACAGGATGATTAGTAAAACTGAACTGTGTAATTTAAAACAGCTCCAAGAGAACTCTGGATTAGTAACTGATGACCTAAGAATACTGTGGTGATCATTTCACAATGTCTCAGCGTACCAACACCACCCCGTACTCCACAGCAACACATGTGGAAAAACAAAAACAAAACCCAACACACACACACACACACAGCCATGCTATTACATCAAACATAAGAAATGATATCACACACATGCTAAACAAACATGAAATCTTGGAAATAATTAAAATATTTAAAAATCAGATTTCCAGTCTCCATCAATGTGAGTGAAGTCACATAAACTCTGACTTCAACCAATCTCCACAAGAAGCCTATACTTCTATCATAGCATGAAATGCTTAGCATCAAGTTCAAATAAAAAGAGTGAGCCACCAAGTACACTATTGTACTTCCACAGTGTAAAAGTGAAAGCTTTTGAAAGAAATGGACCTAACCTCAACACAACACGCCTTCCTAGAGCCCACACAATCTGACCCAAATATCTCTATGAAGAAATTATTCCACACATTTTTGGGGTATGAAACTAATGTTCTATTTATCCCATTTGTTGACTCCATTTCTGATACTATCAGTGTGAACACATGTCAATACCACTTATTTATATTATAATCATTCCTAAACAGGAGTCAAGACAATACAAAGTAAAATTCTAGAAAGCAACCCTAAATTTCATGTAATTCCACAGTAGGAAGTATGTGATGTTCTAAGCCTCATCTACCACATCCACTGAAAATCAAATGACCAGTGAAAAGTGTCCAAATCTCACAAATAATCAAAAAGAACCTCCAAACTCACACTGAGGGGATGCTTTCTTCAACTAGACAGGGAAGAAAGGAGGAATGAACCTGCAGGAAACTCCTGGGACAACGCTCAAGAACAAGCCAATTCGAGATGCTTGATAGCAACTCTGTGCTATGATTTCAAAGGAGACAAAGTATGTCATTCAACAGTTTGTTTGTTTGTTTCCCTAATTAAGCTCTACAGTTTCAAGGAAATGTGAACTACTCTTAGGAGATGAAGAACTAAGGAGTAGGATGCCCATGTCCTATTTTCAAATGTTCAGTCACACTGTCGTTATCTAAAGTAGTAGAAATTGCAGTGCTACAAAACTCTGCATGGTCTTCTATTCAAGCGTGGAGGACACAAATGCACTGCAACACACTGCCCTCTATGTTCCCTCTACCTAGAGATGACAGCCATGTTTAAACTAATTTAACTGAACTTAGATACAAACCTTACCAGGTTTTTTTTTAGATGTATAGTTTGATTTAAAAACAAAACAGAGACAAGCTTCAAAATAAGCCACAGCATCTTCCACTTATAAATAATGTAGCAAAGCCTTCAGCAAGTGTCCAGGCACTGGCTTTTGACTTTGAGTATTCCAATTAACTGCACTGGTCTTTCATGAGTCTGACTGAATCAAGGCATGATAAAACAACAATCATCTCAAAAGCTCAATAATCATCCTTGGTTGAAGTGGAGGACCATGAATTTATTATCCAGTTCTTTAAACAACACTACAGCTAAAATCTCTCTAATTTAAGTTTAGATTTAAATTCTATGAATCAAACTCCCCCATGTATTATTGAAAATGAGGCAATTGCACAAAAATCATTAATTGAGTGGGATAATTATAACTGATATATAAATAAGAATTTACTAAACAGTTTAAATCAAAAATTTACATACAAAAGGTATCTTATGTTTCTCAACTGTCTTAAGTTTCAGATGCCCTTTACTCTACAGTTACAGACTTGGCAAGATTCCGTGGGAAATCAACCTGCAAAAAAGAGAATTATATTAGAAAATATAATCACATAAATATATCTTGGAAAATAACTGAAAAAACAATAGAGGAAGGTGCTAACATATACAAGAGAGAGCTACCCCAGTCCCTCTGTGGAGGTGGACTTCACAAGGAATCCTAGAAATGCAACAGGGTATTTTGGTTCCCATAATAACAAGAAAACTAAGAATGCTACATGTCCTGCAGGGGGGGAGATCCAAACAACATAGGCTTGTTCTACCCAAAAATGTCAATCACTGCCTAGTAAGAAAATGACCCCAGTTCCCAATCAGTCTAGGGCTTGGAATAAACACCAAGATTTCTTCAACTCCTAGGGTAAGAAAAAACCAATGTAAACTACAAACTGGGCTGTGAGAAGATACAGGTGTAAGGTAGATGGGATAGATTTCCAAATGCTACTGTTAAAAAGTTGGGAGGAGTTGGTAAGACACAGAAAGCAAAGGTGCTTGCTACCAAACCTAAGTTCAATCCTTAGGATCCATATGGTGGAAGGAGAGAACCAATACCTACAAGTTGTCCCCTGACCTCCACCCATACACACAAACAAGATGAATAAATAAATGTTTAAAAAAAAAAAAGTCGGGTATACCCTAGTCAAAAGCCACCCTAGAGTTCTACAGAGGGGGTCACTCACATCGTAGCCTCTCAGCACAGCCAGATGGAAAGCCAGCAGCTGTAAGGGGATCACACTGAGAATGCCCTGCAAGCAATCCACTGAGTGGGGCACCTTGATTGTCCTTTTTGTGTTCTTAATAGTCTCAGTATCCTCCTTATCACAGATCACGACAGGGCGCCCCTGGAAAGGAAAACACATGTAGACATAATCACCAGGAAGTTCATGTTGGACAACAAGTGGACATGTGTTCCACACTGCATGATACATAGACATGATCTGACTGCTCAGACAAAGGCAGAAACAGGTGTTGTGGAACTCAGTAGATTTTTTTTTCAAAAAATTTACACAAGAAACACCAAGCTTAGTACTTGAATACAGGTTCACCTTCCTTTGAAGTTCAAGTTTATTTCCAATTCACTGTGTTTAGGGAGAAATATCTTCTGGAATTAAAATATAAACCAGCTGATGGGGAAGAAATGTTTTATATAAATGCTAAACACTGGGGTTTCTTTTGAAGGAAATAATAATGTTAAGGTAAAAAGAAAGAGCACTGTGTTAACTGATAGAAGAAAGAATCTGAAGACTAGGGCCTAGTTTGGGTTTAGTTCTTATATTATGAGAGCTGATTATGAAAGAAATTATTCAGGTCAGTTACCATCAAAATCTGAGCATCTGGCTCCCTCAACATAAATGGCAAAGCAAAGGAGCTGAAAAGCAAGTACGTTTTGTAGTTATCAACCAGGTCCTGATCTATCACTGTAGTATAAATTCACCTTTGTTTTGGTAACCCCCCACTCATATCTCTAGCTTATCCCATAACACCTGACCTACCTGCCGTGCAACCACTTGCTGTAGAGCATTCTGGCATTTGGCATAAGTGTGGTCTCGCATGATGATCATGATGACAGGCATCAACTTATCCACCAAGGCCAGAGGGCCATGCTTTAGCTCACCAGCCAGGATGCCTTCAGAGTGCATGTAAGTAATCTCCTTGATTTTCTAGTATGAAAGAACCAGGTAAGTCTTAAGCTCATTCTTCAAAATTCCACTTTTAAGGAAGTATTGCACAAAGATGGTTAGGTCTACTGAGAAGTATTAAACTGATCTGTTTCTATAGTGAACAAATTAACCAATCATTATTTCCAAGACACCAACAAGCACAGTCTTAAAGCGCTACAAGAGTATTCTTAAGGATTCCGGCTATCAAGAACAGCCATGTATTTCACTTGAACTTTTTATCTGATGAATCTTAAGTCTGTTGTTCATATTTCAATAGCATGTACACCCAACTTAAGATAGCTAACCCCAAGTTACCATGTAAACACTCTTCTTGGCCTTCACTTTTGAATTAAGTTCTGTGGCACGTTAGGAGGCATTTTAAGCTTTCCACCTATTTCAATTAATTTATTCTACAAGTATGTGAGGAGTCAGCGAGATAAGGATGCTTGCCACCAAGCCTGACAATCCAAGTTCAATGTCAAGGATTCAAATGGTTGGAAGGAGAAAACTGACTTCAGCCTAAACTGTTTCGATTTACACACATGTATTGTATCACGCCACTTCCCATGAGCACACACAGACACACACTCTAAATGAATGGCAAGGCTCAGTGATATGTTGATTGCCTGGCTCTCTATGGGTTAAATCCCTAGCACTGCAGAGTAAATAAAAGTGTATGTTCCCTCTCCCTAAATCATTAGAGTAAAACCAACTTGTAAGTGAGAAAACGCACCAAGGCTCCTTCAAGACATGTAGCATAGTGATAGCCTCGTCCCATTATCAGGACTGACTTCTGGTGGTAAAGTTCTGTTGCCAGCTTCTGAATTTCATCATCCATGCTCAGCACTTCCTTAATCAAGTCTGTTAAGATAAAGACTATGAAAAAGGAGCAATACACTGAACAGATAAAATAACAGTGCTATACTGGAAACAAACAACAAAGTGACCTATTTCCACTCTTCTGTGTTATCCGCATGAAATTCTCTTAACACAAGTAGGTAAAAGCAGAAAGATCTTAACTATGCACTTAACTACAAACCACATCTTCAAGATGAGAACTTCATCTATTGTTCACTCCCTTCCACATCAAACATATAGAAAATAAAATACAGAGTTTTAGTTTTAGGAGGCTGTGCCAGAAGCTGCCTCCTATGACACAGGGTGAAAAGTAAAAAAATAACGAAGGAGCCAGCGATGTAGTTCAATTGGTAGACTGCTTGCCTAGTATCCCCATAATATGCATAAAACTGGGCATAGTGATAATACCTGTAATCTAAACACTCAGGAGGTTGAGTCAGGAGAATGAAGAATTCAAGGCCATCCTTCCCTACATATAAAGTTATAGTCCACCTGGGATACAAGAGACCCACTCTCAAAAACCAACAACAAAACCAAATATAAAAACAACAAGAATAAAAACCCACTATTCCAAACAGAGAGATCTTCAAAACCCAAAGGATCAGAAAAGCCACAAAGCAAAAAGTAACCAAATGGAGCACAACTTTAGACCCATGGCTCTCTTATTGGGAGAAGGGAAACAGAAGTTTCATCCAAAAGGTAAGCTAAACAGCCCTGAAGAAGAGATGAGAAGTCCTACCTACAGGACACACTACAGCCCTCAAAGCCTCAAGTCAAGTACTAGTCTGCAGACATTGAATCCTCCAGCAATAGGGTTCCATTCCATCACTCTCTATGGCTAGACACCATCATACAAAGAAACCTACTTCTTAAAACAGAGCAAATCAGAGCTGGATATATACCTTATTGGCTAAGATAGCTCTTTCAAAGGTCCCAAGTTCAATTCCCAGCACCCCAGAGGCTCACAACTACCTATAACTCCAGTTCCAGGGGCTCCCATGTCCTCTTCTGGCCTCTACAGGAACCTGCATGCATGTGGTACACAGATACACATGCAGGAAAAATATATGCACATAAAATAATTAAATTTAAAAACTGGACTACTCTAGGCCTAAGACTAGAGCACAGTCACAAGTCAAGGTGCCACACACTGGTGGAAGACAGCTGGAGGGAGAGGATAGACTCTGACAAGCCAAAACAGTACAGGAAGGAGGAGGCTCAGCCCAGGCAATGAAGCGTGGGGGAAGGTAGCACTATTCTAGGTACCCAGAAATAATTCTGGAATGGATGGGCCTGAGCCAGCTCTCTGCTGGTCAACTGCTATGGAGTTCAGGAACTCTGAAGTTCTAGCACAGTGATTCTCAACCTGTGGGACATGACCTCTTAGGGGTCAAAGGATTCTTTCACATGGGTTTTTGCCTAAGACTATTGGAAAACACAGAGATTCATATTATAATTCATAACAGCAGCAAAAATTACAGTTATGAAGTAGACACAAAAAGAATATTATGGTTGAGGTCACCACAACATGAGGAACTGTATTAAAGGGTTCTGGCATTAAGAAAGTTGAGAACCGCTGCTCTAGCAGATCATAAAAAGCACAAAAGACTCTAACTATTCAAAGCCATCCTAAGCAGAAAGAGTAATACAGGAGGCTTCACAACACCCAACTTCAGACTACACTATAGTGACAGCGACTGTTACCATGTGGTGGACAACAGAATAGAGGACCCAGGGACAGACCACATGGCTGCAGCCACCATTTCTAACAAAAATGTTGAGAAAAATAGCCTCTCAAGAAAAATTACCTCTTCAATATCCAAACATGGATATCCCATATAAAGTTAGATTCATTATTTTTCACCCTGAAGCAAATCCAAACCCTGAAATTACTAGGAAAAAATAATGTATTGTGAAAACACCTCAAGATATTGGCACAGGCAAAGACAAGGACTTCCTCAAAAGGACTCACACTAATACAAGAAGAGATCACAAGAATAAATAGACCTGCATGAAATTTAAGTTTCCTCAGCTTTGCACAGTGCACTATGGCAGCTGATTAGGTTTACTCAGTGTAACTATAGCTAATTAAGAAACTTCTGCACAGAAAAACAACAATTAACTGGGTGAAGAAACAGTCTATGAAATGGAGTCTTTGCCAACTCTGATCCAACAGATTAATATTTATAACCTATAAAGCGCTCCAGAGCCGGGGATGTGGCTCTGGTGTTAGAATGCTTGCCTAACATGTACAAAGCTGTGAGCCCAATCCCCAGCACTGCATAAACCAGGCATTACGACACATCTGTAGTTTCAGCACTCAGAGGGTAAAAGCAAGAGGATTAGAAGTTCAAGGTCCCATCGGGCATAGTGGCACACACCTTTGATCCCAGTACTCGGGAGGCAGAGGCAGGGGGGTCTCTGTGACTTCCAGGACAGCCAGAGCTACATAGTGAAACCCTGCCCCCCCTCCAAAAAAAAAAAGAAGTTCAAGGTCATCCTTAGCTAAATAGTTGAGGCCAATTTCAGTTATGTGAGACATTGTCTCAAACAAAAAACAAAAATAAAAAAAAAAAAAATAAGGAAAGAAAGAAACCTATTATCTTCTATGTTAAGAAATGCTATATTTTGGGCTGGAGAGATGGCTCAGCCATTAAAGGCTAGGCTCACAACCAAAAAACATAAGAAATGTTATATTTTAAAATATCTCTAAAAATGAGCATCCTCATACCTGGCAGCCGCTTGAGTCCAAGCATGATCTCTTTGCGCCTCTCTTGCATGGAGATCCTGTCATCACACATCATGAGAGCAAACATCACAAGGGACACAAACTGGCTGGTATAAGCCTAAAACACCAGAGAAAGCAAAAATTAACTCCAGGTGCATTTTAAGAACCTGGAAAAAACATGAAAATTAATCACAATCCTTCACAGTATACACTGTTCATCTTTTAAAAGCAATACTGTTGATGCTGACCTGGCTCAGTGTCTATCTATCTCTATTCTTAATCACAGAGCACCTAACTCTCACAAAACATGAGTGCTTATGAGCCTCACACAGCCCTCAGAAGGAAGGGAAAGAAAGAGACTGAAGGAAGGCACAGATATCTGAATGTGCCTAACCACAGTGAGGAGAAAGCACAGGCTCCTGGTACTTGAGTTATAGGAAGAGGGCACCACCTATGTGTGCATGTGGAAGCTGGAGGTCAACCTTGGGTATTCCTCAGGAGCTGCCCACTTTTTTTTTTTTTTTTTTTTTTTTTTTTTGAGATAGTCTCTCACTGGGACCTAGGGCTCACTGATAATGCTACACTGGAAGGAACATCAAGCCCTAGGGATCTACCCATCTTTATTTCCCCAGCACTGAGATGATAAACACACACCACTGGACACAGCTGCTTACATAGATGCTGGATCTTAACTCAGATCTTCATGCTTGAAGGTCAAACACTGTCTAGACAGGTCCTCATTCTTACTCTTTAACAAACAAAAAACAACTGGAAACTACATACAAATCTAAATATATGTAAGCAAATAAAAACTAAGCATCTGCAAACCTATGATGACATATTTATAATTTACATTTACTTATTTGTATGCTATGTGGGGCATGCATGCACAGAGCATATGGAGGTCAGAGGACAACCTCTACGAGTCAGTTCTCTTCTTCCACTATGGGGTCCATACTTAGGTTGTCAGGTTTGGCAGCAAGCACCTTTATTCACTTAGCTACTTTGCTGGCCCTAGTTTTTCTTTCTTTATATAAAAAAAATATTTTCAGTAAAAGAAAGTAAATTATGAAGCTGGGTGTGTTTGCACACATAATACCAAAACTTGGAAGGCAGGACCAGGAGGATTAGAAACCCAAGACCCTCATCCTTAGCTACAGAAAAACCTCTAGGTTAGCCTGAGATACAAGAAATCCTGTTTCAAAAAAGTATTTAATTAAAAAATAAGCATTAAGTGGCAGAATTTTATGACTTCTTCTACACTTAACATCTTAGCACTTTCCTTTGTTTAGTGGTGTGTAAGAACCTTGACCCATTTTCTTCCCTATGGCTTCTGATGCCCTATGTGTTCAAGGTTCAAGAACCCAAGAGAGTTGGCTCAGGCATGGAAAGCACCCAGTACAATTCCTGACATACATCCAGAACACACCAAACAGCACTGGCAGCAAGTGCACTGAAAGACATTTCTTCTACTATAAATACAATGTGAGGCCTCCAGTTTACTGGCACAGCAAGCTGCTTTCTCATCAGCCGCATGTGAATGAAAGATATTCCTGTTCTATTACCCTTTGTCAAAAAGTCAGAACCAGCTTTTAGACAAATGACTACCACCTTGACTTTTTTTTTTTTTTTTTTTATCCAAAATGTGTTTACTGGGACGGTTCCCACTCAGCTTGAATCAGGTGCTGTTCAGTGCTGCTTCCTCCTGAAGGAGCATCCTTCTGTCAGCCGCGCTTTTCCGCCTGTGGGCTGACAGAGGACAGTGGAGCAGCCAACACACAAGACTACCGTTTGTGCATCCTGGGCATTTCACATCCATAAAGTAGGAATTGGGGCTCTGCACCAGGTGCTTTTTCTTGTGTTTCCTCTTTTCCTCTTCTAGAGAGGGATGAAGGAGATCCTTTGCCAGAGGCATGTTCTCGTAGGGAGGTCGCCACGGCTGGAAAGGCCCACCTTGACTTTTTAAAACATTTATTTATTTGCAGTTGGTGTCACACATGCTTCTCTTGACAGGCATGTGAAAGTCAGAGGACAATTTGTATCAGTCAGTTCTTTCCTCTCATGGTATGGAAGAGTCTCCTATTGAACCACCTTGCTGCCCCCCACCCTCCACCCCCCCTTTGAAGACAAAATCTCCCTATGTTGCCAAACTGATCTCAAACCTGAGGGCTCAAGCAATCCCCAATTCCTATCTGCTTGGACTACATGCATGCCACAACAGCCCCTATCATTCATAGCTTCAGTCCAAAGAAATTAAAATTTCTTTCCATGTGTGTTAGCTATTTAATTACTTAATATTCAATCTTTTGACAGTTTTATTGTTCTTTATCTATTTTTTTCCCCCTCTTACTTTTGTGGGGGTTTTTTGTTTTGTTTTTGTTATTGTTGTTGTTGTTTTGTTTTTGAGACAGGGTTTCTCTGTGGCATTGGATGTCTGAAACTTAAGGTTAGCCTTAAATCCAGAAATCTGCCTGCCTCCCCAGTACCAGGATTAAAGATGGGTGCCACTATACATGGATGACACAATATTATTTCAAAGAAAGCTTTCATGTTTTAGGTCTCTGAGGCTTTTATTTATTTTAATTGCTGAATTGTTAGGCATATTATGCTGTGCACAAGGTCTTTATTAAGGAAGTTTGTTAGGGTTTTATACCCAGTTACTTTCTTAGTGATTATGTTCCTGTCATGCTGAGGACACATCTTCTCGGCCCAACTACTACTTAAGAACCTGCCACTTATGCTGGACACCCCCCCCCCCCCCCCCCGCCACCACAGCCACCTGTCCCCATTTTGTTCACTTTCCCCCACCCCTATACACACACACACACACACACACACACACACACACACACACACACACACACACACTGAAGTATTTATGGAACCTGTGTTCTAAATTCCAGGTCTCAACTCCCCCTTGTCACTATGGGTCTGCCTTTCAATAAACAAAATCACTAACAGGATCTTGATCCCCTAATATATGAAGCTGTTCCAAATCCAAATTGATATGGCAACAAGCACTCAGTCTAGCCCCTCCAGACTACCACTAAAATATATTCTACCACTGAGTGTGTATCCCAGCCACCATATTTTTCATTTCATCTGTGCATACCAAGAAACTCATTATGATAAAAATAAGCTATACCTCACATTTACAGTCTACTAAGGTCTGAAAAAAAATTTACCCAGAAACTGTTGACTGAACTTTTCAACTTGGCACTCTTTTTGTTCAGTCCAAAACAAAATTACTTGGGTACAATTAAAAAAAAAAAAATCAACCTAAGTCAGCAGTGTGGTAAAATTTTAAACACCTGCAATAACAAAAACACCATCAACTCCTAAAGAAAACATCAAATTATCTATGGTCTGATATTATATGAAAGTAAGTAACAGTTGTCTAAACCAACCATTTTCTCAGGCAGGGTTGGAAACTTGTACACAGGCTAGGTGGGTGGCTAACAAGCTCCAGGATCCTGCTGTCTCCACACACCTATTCTATAACCACAGCAATAGATCACAGGCAGACACATGATCAGGTTTTTTTACATGGGTGGTGGGGATTAGAACTCAGGTCTCAATATTATACAGCAAGCATTCTTAAACAATGAACATCTACTCAGCCCCCAATCAGCTTTTTGTTTTAATTGTCAATTTTACAAAGCATATTCCTCATTAAGGTTTTTTCAAAATTAATGTCATATTCTAACATACTTAAGAAAACCAGGAATACATAAATAAAAAAATAAAAATATCAATAATTATTAGGATTAAACTGTCCATTTCTAATTTACTGCTTTTCTAACCCAACTACACTAGTAACAGGGTGAGAGTAGATTGTGCATGGTGAACAGGAAAAGCTAGCAGAAATCTTTTCCAAGCAGACCTTTTAAACACTTGTCCTCTGTCAGCTGTAAGACTACAGTAGGGAAAAGAGCACATCAGTTGGCCCACAGACCAGCACCCCTCACCAACAAATATGGTTAAGTAACTTCTATGGAAGAAACCAAGACCTTACCTTTGTACTGGCCACACCAATCTCAGGACCGGCATTAATGTGAACCCCACAATCTGTCTCCCTTGATATAGAACTGCCAACTGTATTTGTGATCCCCACAGTTAAGGCTCCTCTTTCCTTACAGTAACGAAGACCCATGAGGGTGTCAGCTGTTTCGCCTGTGTAAAATTGACAAGAGTAACACACAGAGCAGTCTCAGGGTAGGTTGTTTCTTAACATCAAAGACTGACTGGCCACACTTCCAATGTTATCATTTGTTTTAAATAAAGCATGAGGCATGCTCTTATTAAACTTACAAGATATAGCCAGGCAGGGTGGCACACTCATTTAATTCCAGCAGTTGGATCAAAGAGACAGGCAGATCACTGAGTTGGAGGCCAGCCTGGTCTACCCAGTGACAGGCCAGTCAAGGCCACACACCTGTCTCAAACAACAACCATACATTTACAATAAGGCTCTTTAAGGCATATGTAAAAATGATGTTACTTTTTACAAAACATAAAGAATGTATTAGTGACTACCCTGCAAAACCTTCTCAAGTTCCAGCCCAGCCCTCGTCCTCTTCTGCCGGCTATTGGCCAGAGGTGAGTCTGGGCCCAATCGGGGCTGCCTGTCCCCTTCAACCTCTTTTCCCCCCTCCCCCGCCTGAACTCCCTGGATTGGCCCCTGATCCTGCTGCTCCTGTCTCCGGTCCCCTTTGAGAGCACCCTTGGAGCTCTGATACACCCCCACCCATCCCAACCTCCAGCCTACCCCCCCCCACCCTGTGCCCTACCCCACCTACGGTCCTGCCGCTCTGGTTGAGCACTGGGACAGAGGGTGGAGCCAACAGTCCACCCTACTTCGGAGACCTCTTGGAGCAACTCCGAACAAAGGAGACCTGACTATCCACGTGGGACCACCTGTAATTTCCACCAGCTTGGTCCCTGACCCCGCCTCCAGTCCTCTGCTGGAGTCCCAGGCCCCTCCCAGAGATCTGCCTATCTCTGCGGGTCCACTTGGAGTTCCTGCAGGCAAGATCCTTGACCCCCAAATCCGGGCCCCTGCCAAAGAACGAGGTCTCAGCTGGAGAGCGCCAGTTTCCAGTGAGATCCCACTACCCTGCAAAACCTTCTCAAGTTCCAGTCCAGCCCTCGTCCTCTTCTGCCGGCTATTGGCCAGAGAGAAGCCTCCTAGAGAGCTTGGACCACACAGAGATACAGACATTGAATCTTTGATCCACATAAGCCCATCTGGGAAGGACCATAGAGAGAGGGAAGAGACACCACCAACACCTACAGGAAGAAACTATGGGAAGAAGGCAATACAAGAGAACACCTAACAACAGAAAGACAAACATGACACCACCAGAATCTAGGGAATCTACACCAACTAGAATGGAACACAACAACAAAGCAGAGGAAGCAGAAGGGTACGACTTAAAAATCACCATCATAAAAATGATAGAGGCCCTCAAAGAAGATATGAGAAAATCCCTTAAAGAAATAGAGGAAAAAACAAACAAAAAAGTGGAAGAAATGAACAAATTCCTTAAGGAAAGTACAGAAAGCCAAGAAAAAACAATTAACCAGGTGAAGGAAACGGTTCAAGATTTGAAAACCGAAATTGAGAAAATAAAGGCAACACAAATGGAAGGAAAGCTGGAAATTGAAAAGCTGGGCAAAAAATCGGAAACCACGGACACAAGCATAACCAATAGAATTCAAGAGATGGAAGAGAGAATCTCAGGCGCAGAAGATAAACTAGAAGAAATAGATTCATCGACCAAAGAAAACCATAAATCCAACAAATCCTTAACACACAATATCCAGGAAATGTGGGACACCATGAAAAGGCCAAACCTAAGAATAATAGGCATAGAGGAAGGTGAGGAAGCCCAGCTCAAAGGTGCTGAAAACATATTCAACAAAATCATCGAGGAAAACTTTCCAAATCTGAAGAAGGACATGCCCATGAAAGTACAAGAAGCATACCGAACGCCAAATAGGCTGGACCAAAGAAAAAAGACCCCTCGACATATAATAATCAAAACACCTAGCATACAGAATAAAGAAAGAATATTAAGAGCAGCGAAGGAAAAAGGACAGGTAACATATAAAGGCAGACCTATCAAAATTACACCTGACTTCTCCATGGAAACCCTCAAGGCCAGAAGGTCCTGGATAGATGTTCTAAAAGTATTAAGAGAACACGGATGCCAGCCTAGGCTACTATATCCAGCAAAACTCTCAGTCAATATAGATGGAGAGAACAAGATATTCAATGACAAAACCAGATTTTCCCAATATGTATCTACAAATCCAGCCCTACAGAAAGTATTGGAAGGAAAATTCCAACCCAAGGAAGGTAACTACGCCCACAAAAATGTAGGCAACAGATAATCCAACTACACCAGAAACCTAGGGTGAAGCAGAACAAATATATTCACAATACCACTGCCAACAACAAACCTAAATCAAACAACCATCAACAATCAATGGTCCTTACTCACCCTCAACATTAATGGTCTTAACTCACCTATAAAAAGACACAGATTAACAGAATGGATACGAAGACAGAATCCATCCTTCTGCTGCATACAAGAAACACATCTTAGCTCCAAAGATAGACATTACCTCAGGGTAAAGGGTTGGGAAAAGATTTTCCAATCAAATGGAAATAAGAAGCAAGCAGGCGTAGCTATCCTAATATCTAACAAGCTAGACTTCAAACCAAAACTAGTCAAAAGAGATGAAGACGGTCATTTCATATTCATCTCAGGAGAAATCCATCAACACAAAGTCTCAATTCTGAACATCTATGCCCCTAATACAAAGCCACCCACATTCGTAAAAGAAACACTACTAAAACTCAAAGCTCATATAAAACCTCACACACTTATAGTGGGAGACTTCAATACACCACTCTCAACACTAGACAGGACCACAAATCAGAAACTCAACAAAGAAACAAAAGAATTAACAGAAGTTATGTCTCAACTGGGGCTAACAGACATCTATAGAACATTCCATCCAAAGACAAAAGAATATACCTTCTTCTCTGCTCCACATGGAACCTTCTCTAAAATCGACCACATACTAGGAGACATAACAAACCTCAACAGATACAAGAGAATAGAAATAGTCCCCTGTATCTTATCGGACCACCATGCTTTAAAATTGGAATTCAACAACAATACAAATAGCAGAAAACCTGCAAACTCATGGAAACTTAACAATGTGCAATTGCACCACTCCTGGGTCAAAGAAGAAATAAAGAAAGAAATTAAAGACTTTCTAATATTCAACGAGAATGAGGATACAACATACCCGAACTTATGGGACACCTTGAAAGCAGTGCTACGAGGGAAGTTCATTGCACTAAGTGCCCATATGAAGAAAACAGAGGATAGTCACATAAATGAATTAACAGCGCAACTGAAAACCTTAGAACAGAGAGAAGCGAATTCACCCCGCAGGAGCAGACGCCAGGAAATAATCAACTTGAGGGCTGAAATCAACAAAATAGAAACCAGGAAAACAATACAAAAAAATCAATGCAACAAAGAGTTGGTTTTTTGAGAAAATCAACAAGATTGATAAACCTTTATCCAAATTAACGAAAAAGCAGAGACAGAACATGCAAATTAACAAAATCAGAAACGAAATGGGGAACATAACAACAGACACAGAGGAAATCCAGACAATTTTCAGGTCATACTTGAAAATCTGTATTCCACAAAAATTGAAAATTCAAAGGAAATGGACAAGTTTCTGGATAACTATCACTTACCAAAATTAAATCAAGAACAGACAAACAACGTAAATAGACCTATAACCCGAAATGAAATAGAAGCAGTCATCGAAAGCCTTCCAACGAAAAAAAGTCCAGGGCCAGATGGATTCAGTGCAGAATTCTACCAGACATTCAAGGAAGAACTAATACCACTACTCCTCAAACTGTTCCACAAGATAGAAACAGAAGGTTTATTGCCAATCTCTTTTTATGAGGCCACAATAACTTTGGTACCCAAACCTCACAAAGACACAACTAAGAAAGAAAACTACAGACCAATATCCCTGATGAACATCGATGCAAAAATACTCAATAAAATAATGGCAAATCGAATTCAAAAATACATCAGAGAAATCATCCACCATGATCAAGTAGGCTTCATACCTGGATTGCAGGGATGGTTTAACATACGAAAATCTATCAACGTGATCCACCATATAAACAAATTGAAAAAGAAAAACCATATGATTATCTCCCTAGATGCAGAAAAAGCCTTCGATAAAATTCAACACCCTTTCATGATAAAGGTATTAGAGAGGTCAGGGATAACAGGAACATACCTAAACATAATAAGAGCAATATACAGCAAACCAACTGCCAACATCAAACTGAATGGAGAGAAACTTAAGCCAATTCCTCTAAAATCAGGAACAAGACAAGGCTGTCCTCTCTCTCCATATCTCTTCAATATCGTACTAGAAGTTCTAGCTAATGCTATAAGACAACAAAAGGAGATCAAGGGCATCCAAATTGGAAAGGAAGAAGTCAAACTGTCTCTATTTGCAGATGATATGATAGTTTACATAAGCGACCCAATAAACTCTACCAGGGAACTCCTACAGCTGATAAACACCTTCAGCGAACTAGCAGGATACAAGATAAACTCAAAAAAATCAGTAGCCCTATTTTTTTCAGACGACAAAGAGGCAGAGAAAGAAATCAGAGAAACATCACCCTTTACAATAGCCACAAGCAACATAAAGTATCTTGGTGTAACGCTTACCAAACAAGTAAAAGATCTATATAATAAGAACTTTGTGACTCTAAAGAAAGAAATTAAAGATGATACCAGAAAATGGAAAGACCTCCCATGCTCTTGGATAGGTAGGATAAACATAGTAAAAATGGCAATCTTACCAAAAGCAATCTACAGATTCAATGCAATCCCCATTAAAATCCCACCACAATTCTTCACCGACCTTGAAAGGATAATAATCAACTTTATATGGAAAAACAAAAGACCCAGGATAGCCAAAACAACCCTATACAATAAAAGAACATCAGGAGGCATCACCATTCCTGACTTTAAGCTCTACTACAGAGCTATAGTTCTGAAAACAGCCTGGTATTGGCATAAAAATAGACAGGTAGACCAATGGAATCGAATTGAAAATCCTGATATTAGTCCACGCGCCTATGAACACCTGATTTTCGACAAAACAGCTAAAATTATACAATGGGGCAAAGACAGCATCTTCAACAAATGGTGCTGGCACAATTGGATGAGGGTGTGTAGAAGACTGCAGATAGACCCATGTCTGTCGCCATGCACAAAACTCAAGTCCAAATGGATCAAAGACCTCAACATCAATCCAGCCACATTGAACCTCTTAGAAGAGAAAGTAGGAGGTACCCTTGAACAAATTGGTATAGGAGACCGCTTCTTGAACATAACTCCAGGGGCACAGACACTGAAAGAAACAATTAATAAATGGGACCTCTTCAAACTTAGAAGCTTCTGTAAGGCAAAGGACACAGTTGACAAGACCAAACGGCAGCCCACTGACTGGGAAAAGATTTTCACTAATCCTATATCCGACAAAGGGCTGATCTCCAAAATATACAAAGAACTCAAGAAACTAGTCAACAAAACACCAAATAACCCTATTAAAAAATGGGGTACAGAACTGAAGAAAGAATTCTCAATGGAGGAAATCAAAAAGGCTGAAAGACACTTAAGAAAATGCTCCACATCCTTAGCTATCAGGGAAATGCAAATCAAAACAACTTTGAGATACCATCTTACCCCTGCCAGAATGGCTAAAATTAGAAACACCAGTGATGACTTATGTTGGAGAGGATGTGGAGAAAGTGGAACACTCCTCCACTGCTGGTGGGAGTGCAAACTCATACAGCCACTTTGGAGATCAGTATGGCGGTTCCTCAGGAAAATGGGAATTAGTTTACCACAGGACCCGGCAATCCCCCTCTTAGGCATATACTCAAAGGATTCACATCAATGCAACAAAGACATCTGTTCAACTATGTTCATAGCAGCACTATTTGTAATAGCAAGAACCTGGAAGCAACCTAGATGCCCTTCAATTGAAGAATGGTTAATGAAGATGTGGCACATCTACACAATGGAATACTACTCTGCAGAAAAAAATAATGGTATCTTGAAATTCGCAGGCAAGTGGATGGCACTTGAAGAAACCATCCTGAATGAGGTAACCCAGTCACAAAAAGAGGAACACAGTATGTACTCACTCATATATGGATTTTAGACCTAGATCAAATGATCACCAGCCTATAATTCACATCACCAGAGGAACTAGGATACAAGTTGTATTCTAAGAGATTCATATAAAGTCCCTCACAGAACTGGGAAGGGACAAGTCCCCCAGACCTCAGGTATAGTGGGGGAGGACAGCTAATGGAGAGAGAAGTAGGAGAAAATGAGAGGGAGGAGAGGAAGGCATGTGCGACCAGGAGGATTGAGCCTGGTTAGGAATGGAAAATAGGAAAGAGAGAGAGAGACAGAGACAGAGAGAGAGAACATAAAAGAGGGAGCCAATATTGGTTTGAAGATAAAGTTGAACACAAAGAAAGGTCGAGGGAACTACAAGACTGCTCCCAACTAACAATCTCAGCTTCCGTGGAAAGGCTATCATAAATGCCCTTCCTGGAGAGTGAGATCAACAACTAACTTCTCCATGGAGTCCTCAACTAATGCCTGTTGAAAACAGGAGCAAACACCCATACATAAACACTGAGTCAAACTAGAACCCAGAAGCAGATGGAGAGGACAAGACCATGCGGTAGAAGTACATAGAGACAGCTTACCTGAACAAGGAGGAGCTAAGGGCCACTAGACTGATAGCTGGGAAGCCAACAGGGGTCTGACTCAGACCCCCCTGAATATGGGTCTCAGCCAGAAGGTCTGAGCAGTCTAAGAGACCTCAGACAGTGGAGCCAGGATGTATCCCTGGTGCACAAAAGGACTTTGCAAACATATCCCCCATGGAGGGATAACTGCCTTATTCTAGAGATAGGAGAGAAGCCCTAGTCCCTACTTCACAGGACCTGTCAGATCTACATGACCCCAACTGGATGGCATTCCCCTACATATTGTATTGTGGTGGGGGGTTGGGAGGGGAGGGTGTTTAGAGTGCATGGGAGAGGGTAGAGAGGGCAAAAGGGAGGGAAGGAGGGAGGGAGGGCTTGGGGGGAAGGGAGGGAGGGAGGGAGAGGGAACTGGGATCGACATGTAAAATAATAATAATAATAATAATAATAAAAAAAAAAAAAAAAAAAAAAAAAACGCTTTGACTCCAAAATTTAAGTTGAAGAACAAGTTACTGGGGAAAAGTATTTCTATTTTTGTTTCCACAGAAAATGAAAAGATGTGGATTCCTTCCAGACTAATGTGGTTTGATCACACCAGACCGCCTGAAACAGAGTACAAGCTGATCCTACATTCCAAACAGCTGGACAAAACAGCCCTACAGACTACAGCTAGGATATCTGAATCTTCTTCGAATCCCCCAAGACAGCGCCCCTTACCAGCAGGAAGTAGTTTGGAAAGAACGACGCCCAAATTCCCAAATATTGTGTATAAATGTTTGTTTTCATTTAATTGGACTTTGTTATATAAAATTAAATAAAAAATACTCTATATGCATAAAAAAAATTGCAAAAAAAAAATAATAAAATGTTATTAAACTAAAAAAAAAAAAAAAAAAGAATGTATTAGTATGACTGAAGCCAATCTGTATTAACCTGGTCATCAAAATACCAGTTTAAGCATCAGTTCTTACAAGACATGCCAGAATTATTAGGAAAATTGACTTATAATGACTTTTTTCCCCTTAGAGTCTAAAACAAACATACCTGATTGACTAATGAAAAAGCAAACATCATCTCGAAAGACTGGAGTGTTTCTATCCAAGAAGTCACTAGCAAGCTCCACCATCACCGGCAACTCTGTCAGCTCCTCCAGAACCTGACGGGTCTATGGAAAGAGAACAATCTGCCTTCAGACATTCTTTTTCATGGAACTTCTTTGGTTTTAATGTACAGTTCATACTTTTCTGATAATAAAAACACACAGACTAGAGGTAGCGTAGTGGTGAGCACTTGCCTAGCATGCACAAGGCCAACCCCATCACTAGTTCTAACCCCAGCACTGCCAAAAGAAAAGCAAGGCATAAATTTAGAAAACATCAAGTAATATAAATTAAAGAATAAAAAATTAAAAGTATTCAATATCCCACTACTCAACAGATAAGCATTGCTAAAACTTTAGCACAAGTCTTTTAAAACAACTACTAACACATGTGTCCTATTTTGTGTTCAAAACTAGACTTGTCTGGAACTCACTATGTGGTCCAAGCTGGCCTCAAACTTGCAGTAAGATTCCTGTCTCAGCCTTCTGAGTACTGGGATTATAATTTCAAGCTCCATGCAAACACATGGAACATTTTGAGAAGAAAAAACACTGTTCTAAGTCAACTTGTATGTTATCTCTAACTCTCCAATTCCTAATATCCTTCTACTCCAAACATCAAAAAATTAGAAACAACAGAAAACAAACTTTCAAGCACCAAAATCTTTTAAGGCCTAACAATGTACAGGCACACTGTAGTGCTTTAACACTGACAACAGATATTCTCACCCACCAGCCTTCACCTGTTTCTTTAGGTCAGCCTCTCTTCCCACCCACCCACCCGCTATCTGTCTCTAGTCTCTTCTCCACAATTCTCCTCTACAGCAATAAAAACACAAAAGTTGGTGCAGGAGAGCTGCTTGCCGAGGACCCGAGTTTCTTTCTCAGCACCAAGGACTAGTGGCTCACAAGCTCTTACACTTCCGGTTCCAAGGAATCTTACATCCTCTTCTGATTTATCCATGTGCCACATATGCATTCACAGAGAGAGACAGAGAGGGAGGGAGACGAGGGAGAGGGAGAAGGGATTTAAACTAAAACTCTTGTAAAGTTGTCTTTACTCTATAGTTCTAGAACTTTTGCTTGCCTAAAAACTGAAAAGGAATTGTTTTGTTATATTTGGTCCCACAATGATTCTAATTTGGCAGTTTTTAGCAACATTGCAGCAACATAATAACAACAATATTATAGCAACATGAATGCCAAGTGAAAATTAAATGTTCCTACTTTTAATTACTTTTCTGATGGTATAATTTATTTATAATTATTTGTAGACCAGATACTGACACTAACAAGCTAAATGTTTTCCTTAAAACCAATGAAAATAAAAATTTCACCCTAGATTACAAATCTATTACATTGGAATTTCTATCTTCAAGCAAACCTAACAAACCTATTAGATATAAAAAATTAACATAACTAGCCAGGTGATGGTGGCCCACGCCTTTAATTCCAACATTCAGGAGACAGAGGCAGGCAGATCTCTGGGAGTTTGAGGCCAGCTTGGTCTATAGAGTGAGTTCTAAGACAACCAGGGCTACATAGAAACTCTGTCTCAAAAAACAAAAAGAAAAAAATATCAGTTCCCACAGGGTAAGAGATAAATATTTGTGTCACAGCAAATAAAAATTTATTATCATGAACTTTGCAAATCAATCTTAAAGCTGAGTGCAAGAGTTCTGTGTATGCCAGTGTGTAATATACTTCCTTATAAAGAAACCACAGCTGGATATAATTTCTTAAGAGGCCAGGTCCCAGTTTCTTTATCGACAACCAATATAAGTCCCTAGTACAGGACTTTCAGCTTCTAAACCCTAATTTAACAAAGTCTGGGCTGGAGAGACATCTTAGCAGTTAAGAGCACCAGCTGCTCTTACAGAAGACTCAGGTTCAGTTCCCAGCTGCCACGGGGCGACTCACAGCCATCAGTAATTCCAGGAGATCCAATGCCCTCTTCTGACCTCCAAGGGCACCAGGCATACACATAATGCACAGCCATACTTGCAGGCAAAACACTCACACATATAAAATAAAACAAATAAGTCTAAAATTCAATAAAAAACAAAAAAACCAAAGGTTTTTAACAAGCATACTTCCTTTCTTTGAAGAAAGGTATCCATGAAGCAAACCCTGCTGAGGCGAAAACAAATAAATCACTGGCCAACTGTCTGCGTCTAGCCGGCAATTATAAGCAAAATAAGCAAACCCCAAAAGCCTTAAACAGGTTGAAGGAGGATCTTAGACCTGATCTTAACAAAACAATGAATATAAGAAGGCATGCTCTGTGGGCTACTTAGGACAGTACAAAGCCCCTTCTGTAAGCATTTTGGGGTAAATTGGATGCGACAGGTATTCTGGCACTCAGGAGCCAAGGAATACCATAGGTCACAGTAAGCTTAACAGCTTACAGCCTAGCTTCAGGGAAGGCTTCCCCAGTGTTATCAGCTCTGCTTCAGCAGAGAGAACTTCCCCACTGAGGTTGTTACAGTTTGGCTCTGCTCCCAGGGAGAGTGGAGTGTAGAAACTCTGCTCTGCCAGGGGAAGGTTTCCCCAGCTAAAGTGTTGCAGCCCTGCTCCGCTCTACTGCAAAAGAAGATCTTCACCCAAACCTCATTCAAGAGACTTATTGGGAGGTAAGGATCCAGGAGTGTCTGACTCTGCCAGGGTGGAAGGGGGCAGCTGGAGCTCCACAAGCTGAACAGGCACTGGATTTATAAAGGGCTTCTTAGGGGGTGGAGCTTTCTCAGGAAGATTTCCAGGGTGGGGATTGGTCAGATTTCAGTCCTTGAGCTCAGACTGGCTCAGGGATTGGTTGGTTTTCTGCACAGGTTTAGGGTCAGATTTGGCTCTGGTTTCAAGGCCAAAGTGTGTTTCTTTCGCTGGTCCCTTTTTGGCCTTTTGGCTCTAATTTTAGGACCTTTACTGGTTCTGATTCCAGGGACAAAGTGTGCTTCTTTGGCACTGGTTTCAGGGTCAGGATCAGGAGCTCTGCTCAGGGTGTGCCTCTTCCCTCTCTGGTTATATCAATCAATCAAAGGTAGTCTATATGTAAAAAACTTTGTACAGCATATCTTTCATTAACAATTCAAGCAACTAGGATACCTTTCTGTCCCTTTCCTAAAGTGTCAATGTAAAAAATGACACAATAACATGTTTTTAACAAAAGATAGTTTTACAAGGCTAAAGTAAGATGGTTCAATAGGTGAAGGCACTTGTCATATAAGCTTGAACTAAATCCTAAAACCCACATAAAGGTGGGAGAAAACCTACACTACAGTTGTTCCCTGACCTTCACATGCATGCCTCCCTACACATATCATACATGCATACAGTAATAATTTGTAAAATCGTAAACATAGTTTTACATGATATGTTACTAGAAATACTACAGATCCACAGATACCCTGATTCCAACACAACATAATTAAATGTAAAGAGGCCACTTACTGCCATACCAGCGTGGTAACTAGTGCCACAAGCAATAAGAATCAACCGCCGACACCGCTGGATCTCCTTAATGTGATCTTTTAAACCTCCCAAATTCACTGAAACAGAAATTTATGTTCATAATTACTTAGGAAAGAACCATATAAAACAGGCAATTCTCTTTGTAAGTAACTAATGTCAATTTGAAAAATCAATACTACTGTTTTAAGCAATTCATATTCCTTTTTGGAAGACTATTTTGTTGTAGTTACGTAAATTAACAGTTCACAACTTAACTGGCCCCTCACCAAAACTGCACTCACCTCACTAACCACCAAGGAGTACAGACAGGCATTAAATCACTTTAAGTCACTTTTCATTCCTCTCTAGAGAAAAAGTTATCTCAAAGGAAAAACCATAGGGACAGAACCAGCATGTCAGCTACCAAAAGCTGGATTTGGAGAGAAGAGGACAACATTGTCATAAAGAAAGTTTCCAGAATGACAGAACTGTTCTATATTTTGATTCTGTTCAGGTCATGATTATGACATGTCATAACCCAGAATCTTATTAGGAAGCTGAGGCAATAGATCCATTTGATACTAGTAATTCAAGACCAGCCTGTGCAATGTAGGATGATCCTCAGAAAAAATTAACCAGAATGTTATATTTAAAATGATTGAATTTGGGGCTGAAGAGATGGCTCAGTAAGCAAGATGACATATTGCTCTTTCAGAGAACACAGGTTCAGTTCCCAGCACCCACATGGCAGCTACAACTGCCTGTACATTCAGTTTCAGAGGATCTAACATCTTCTAGCTGCAGATGTGCACATGCACACAATGCACCTACCTACATACAGGTAAAATAGGGATACACATTAAAATAAATAAATCTTTAAAAAATTGTTTGTTTGTTTGTTTTTTTTTTTAATGATGTATTTGGGTAGGTGAGATGACTTAGAAGGCAAAGGCACTTGCTGCCAAGCCTGATGACCTGAATTCTAGTCCCAGGACCCACAGGATAGAAGGAGAGAACCAACTCCTATACTCCTACAAGTTGTCCTCTCACCTCCACCTGCATGCCATAACACGTGCCTATACACATACATGAAACAAATCATAAATAATAAACGGAGGACTGGAAGATAGGTTAATCTATAAAGTGCTTGCCACACAAGCATGAGTTTGGTCTTCAGAGCCCACATAAAAAGCTGGGCATGCTGGGATGTGCTTATTTCCCCCAGCTCTGGGGAAAGAGACAGAAAGATACCTGGGGCTCACTGCCAGCCAGACTAGCCTAATCCACCATGCCAAGTCTCAGTGAGAGCACCTATCTCAATAAACAAACAAAAAACAACAACAACAAAACAAAGTGGAATAAGCCTGAGAAACAACAACCAAGGTTCACCTCTGGCTTCCACATAAGCAAATACATGTACACTTGTACACACCAACATGGGTATGTACAATCACCCATACAAAATGATTATTTTCATTATGTCTAATTGTACTTCAACAAAGCTACATAGAAAACTACCTTCATTATGTTTATTTCTACAAACTCCAAACTATGGTGATATATTTTTCTAAAAATATTGAAGACAAGAAGTATTGAAGACTGAACTATTGCCAGACCCTATAGCCAAATAAATAATATGCACTGAGATCATTTAAGACTATGCACTCAACCTGTTATTCTATTGTATGCTCAGCCTGTTCAACCTGCCTTTAAGAGAACAACACAACCAACTTTACTATGCCTTGGATTTCCCATGCAATCAACTTTTACAACTTAAGATAAATGCATAGTTTTAATCTTTAATTGTATACTTTTCATTCCCCTGACCCAGAATAATGAATGTGTGCTATGGTAATAATTTGCCAAAAGCAGCAAGCAGGTTGAAAGCAACCCTAAACAAAACAAATAACACACAAATGTTGGAAGCAATGTGTGCTTGTGGTTTGGAGTGCTATTCTGGGTCAGTAAGTAAGGTAACTTCTTCCATTGTAAAACTCAAAAGATTTTTTTTATGAAGAATTCCTCATTTCTTTCCCATACCTTGTTGTTCAATAGAAAGGAAAGCCCTGTGTTAGGGATAGCACAACACATAGATCAGACAATCAGTCATACAAAACAGACATGCTACCAACATGCCTATAACCACAGATGGAAGACACAGGGACAGAATCAGAGAAGTAAAATTTGAGCTCTTTCTTGGTCAAACTACTCCAAGAGGAAGTTTCTGTTCTCATTCCTTAATGCAACACTGATGCATTTTGGTCCCCCCCAAGGGTTCTTTAATGTGGTGCCAGTGCACTGTAGTACTGTTTGTATACAAGCCCACACTCTTCTCTCAGTGTTTGTCATTTCTAATGTTGGCATTACTGGAACTGCTTAGGCACCCCTCTCTACCCATCTACCACATCCCTCTACTGAAATCCCTTTGGATCATCACCTTCCTGAAGATGATGACAGCAACATTCTCTCAACTCTTTTCGCTTTTTAAATTATCAAAACAGGCTGGAGATAGCTCGATGGGTAATGTTTGCTGTGCAAGCATAAGGACCTGATTTTGGATCTCTAGCACTCACATAAAAAGCTGGGCAAAAAGAAAAAACAAAAAAACAAAAAAAAAAAAAAAGGGTTCCTGTAATTCCAGCATTAAGAAGGGGAGACAGGCAAATCCTAACATTAGGAAGGTAGAGCTCAATAACAAGCCAATTTAGCCAACCAGTGAGCTCCAGGTTCAGTATAGAGACCTTATGTCAAAAATAAGGTGGAAGGCAACTGAGGAAGACACTTGACCTCTGACCTCCACATGTGTTGTGGAATATTAGTTTACGATGTTTTACATTTGTTTATGCTGTGAAATATTTGTCTAACGATGCAAAGACGTGTTGCATTCTTTCATGCTGTCTTTGTTTAACTCTGTAAAGCTGTGTTACTTTGCCTGCTAAAAACACGTGGTTGGTCTAATGAAGAGCTGAACAACCAATAGCTAGGCAGGAGAGGGATAGGTGGGGCTGCCAGACAGAGAGAATAAATAGGAAGAGAAATCTAGGCTTGAAAAAAAGAGCAAAGAAGGAGCAACAAAAGGAGGAGAAGGGGATGCCAGGAGCCAGCTACCCAGCCACACAGCCAGCTATGGACCAAGAAGAAAGATATATAGAAGAAAGAAAAGTAAAAAGCCCAGAGGCAAAACATAGTTAAAGACAAATGGAATAATTTAAATTAGTAAAGCTGGCTAGAAACAAGTCAAGCTAAGGCTGGACATTCATAAGTAAGAATAAATGTTTTTATTTGGGACCTGGGTAGCAGGTCCCCAAAGAGTTAAAAGCAATCAAACAAACTACACACACGCCCACATATACTTATATACAAACACTACTACAGTGTTGGGACATTGATACCACATTGAAGAAACCTTGGGAGAGGGAACAACAACAACAACAACAACAGCAATAATAATAACAATAATAAAACAAACAAAAAAGTACTGCTGGTTTCTCAAATGACATAGAATATAAACCACACTACTTAAGGCTTTCAAGTCCCCTGTGACCATTATCTGGTTCACTCCTATACCTGCTCTAAATTAAGCCACAGTATAAAAACAGTGTTCCCACAGGCTTTAGCATGTGCTGTGAAGGTTTAGGTAGTGAAATATATTGGTAAGTTATATTGCTAAATTGTTGTGGGCTGTTTGAACTCCAAGAGAAACTGCCTCTGGAAATAGGGTTTTGACACCACACCATTTCAGACCCAAGCATGTTTGTTCTCTAAGATCTCCATGATAGGGAAGAGAACAGTAAAACAGCTCTAATAATAATAAGAAGAAGAAGGGAGAGAGGGAACTGGAATCGATATGTAAAATAAGAATATATATATAAATAAATAAAGTTCCAAGGAACAGCTCCAAGGAAAAACTACTTTTCCTGTAATAAAGTGTCTATAGTGGAGAGGAGGAAAAGGTCTGAAATGCCTTATACACAGTCTGTGAAAGAGACAGATTCTCATCATGTAAACCAGGCAGGCCTCAAACTCCATGCTCCTGCCTCAGCCTTCCACACATGGGCCATTATATCTGCATGATGCTTTAGTCTGACTGTGACAACATAAGCCTTAACTAATGGAAACAGCAAGAAAACCTGGAAGATGGGGGTAATCAAGAAGACCACACATGAAGACAAGTCTGGTTCCATAAATGTGACCTTTGGCAAGACATTCAAACTGACAGAGCCCTGATGTCCTCACCTTAAAAAATCAAGAAGGTAATTGTTATTCTATTTATATTAGACAAGTTGTATGCACATAATACATGTAAGAGTTTTTAAAACAGTTAATGTCTCAGAGCTGAGGATATGGCTCAGTAATAGACTACACGCTTAGCACATACAAGACCCTAGTTTTGATCCCCAGGATGCAGAGTGAAGGAATAGGACAAGACAGAAACTATGAAGTTTTCAAAGCCTGTCTCATTCTTTTCCCTTAACAAACAAATCTTTTTCCTGACTTTAATCCCATAAATTCTTCGAGCACTGTTGTTGGTCCTCCCTGAGTCTCCCTGCTCACAGATCAATATGGGTATTCATTGTCTTGCTCCTGTCTCTCCCCTGGACTCCCTCTTTCTCTTTTCATTGTGTCCCAGAAAGATCAACATCCTACTGACACATGCATATAACCCAGGCTCTTGCTCCTTCTGTACCCTGGAGACTGGCACCCAGTCATTTAAAATCTTCAGCTTCTTTAATAGAGGCGCCTCCACTGAGTGTCCTGCTCCACCTCCTCAGGACAGTTCCTCTCCCCTTCCTTCCTACTCTTACTTTCTTTTATAACTCTTCAAATACCACATCTGGTATATACCCTAGACTACAGAGTTCTCCATGAGCAATCTCCTGATGGTTTTTCCCACCAGTGCCTTAACTAATGCTCTTCCAGCCAGCTCAGTATTCCCATCTGACATCCATGTATTAACATCTTCCAAACCCTTACCTTCTTATTTCATGAGACCTTCCCTCATCCCAAGATCCCTTTCTACAAACAGACTCATTCTTCATATTTCCTAAATTCAATATTAAACTATAAACATTTTTGAGTGCTGGGATCACGTTTTTACTTTCCTTGAAATTGTTAATTATATATTGATCTCCTCTATACATGATTAAAATATTGAGGGCAAGACTACATCAGAAACTTTACCATAGTCTACTTCTATGACATGAATTGAAGATTAAGAGTCTATGGCCTCAAGATGTCTGTAAGCTCCTTTGATGTGTGTTCTAGAGACTAATGTTGCACTTTGACTTCTACCTTAAACATGGAGTAAGGTACAAACATCATGAAAGACCTCTGTGGAAGTTCTTTCTTTTGCTTGCTTCTGAAAGAAACACAAGGGCTAGAAAGATGATTCAGTGGTTAAGAGCACTGCTCTTGCAGAAGACTTGGGTTCTGTTCCCAGGATCCACATGATGGCTCATAGCTATATGCAATTATAGTTCCAGAAGATCAGATGTCCTCTTCTAACCTCCAAGAGCACCAGGCACAAATGTGGTGCACATACGTACAGGCAGCCAAAACTCTCACACACATAAAACAAATAACCTGAGCAAGCAGACAGGTTCTTTCCAGAATCCACAATGCCCAAACCCAGTATGTGACAGTCACCCCCTTTACCATTTTTAAATATGCCATTCAGTGGGGTGATTCCACCCTGAGGTGCAATCACGCTTTGATGTCTGGCAATCTCAGCTCTTCCACAGATCTATATAAAGGACAATAAACTTTCAGGTTGCTAATGGCACTCCTACAAGAGACTGAAATGAAACAATAGTAAATGTCATTACCAGTATAGTCATCAAAATTGACTCTTCCTCTCATTGTGTTCACAACAGATTCTGGCTGTTCAAAAATTTCTTTCTGCATAAATGAACTAAAGTTGCCTATAAAAAATATAAATTACATAATTAAAACAACAGTAAGTGAGCTAAAAAAATAAGAAATCTGTATACAATCAAGTCCATATCTTTTCTTTTTTTTTTTCAAGCCCCTATCTTTTCAACATGATCTTGATACATGTTCGTTATACAATATAGAAAACCTCCTAGAAGCCTGCATGAGTGTTTTACTCTACATGAAAAATAAACAAGGAAGAAGTCACTTTTATTTATTAATTAATACCTAAAATGCATAGTTACACAAAAACAGGGACACAAGATAACTTTTGAGTCAAATTTAAGTTCAGACTCATCAAGCTACCCTTTACTATGTTGACTGTGAAAATTCCTTATTTATAAATAAGATGAGTATATACTTCTGATTATGGACTATAGTGTGGGTCATGTGACTTTGCAGACAGTAGTTCTACAACATCAGAAAAGAGAACAAAAATCCTAACAGTTAATGGCAGTAAACATTATGTACAGTACACTGATATCCGGTACTGTTCTAAAGTTTTCTACGTATCAGCCTTGTTGATCTTCAACACAAACTTAATGAGATGGAGTCTGTTTTCCCCTCTTAAGACATGAGAAGACTGAAGCACAGAGAGCATACAAGAAGAGAACTGGACAGAACATGAGTCATATTTACTTTTAAAAAGCATCTTTAAACATGTGGTACTATCTCCTTACAGAGTTAAAAAAAAAAAAAACATGAATTAATTTTAAGAACTATTTATTCTAAAGACTAGCAGATAATTTCTCCAGAGTCATCCCTTTTCCTGGGTTGACCATATACACTCATCATATGGAAGCTTCATAAGCAGGACAGGAAGTAAAATGACTCCTTTCTTTAAGCACCCTAAGTCCAAACATTGCAAGACACTCACCCTTCATGATCTGCTGGAGTTCCATCTGGAGGGTTTGCACAGCTCGGCCAGGATGGTCTCTTGCAGTTCGTTTAATTCGATGGATAGAAAGACGGCCATCCACCACTGCTGCAACATCATCATCTTCAAGAAAGATGACACGATTGGTGTGTTCTATCACAGCACTACAAAATGGTCAAGGAGATGTTATTATCAATAACCAAGGATCACTGTCACCAAGAAAGTTATCATTAGAACACACACACCAAGCTCAAACACCAACTCTCATCTTACACCACATGTTAACTGCCAATGTCCTCACTTCCTACAGGGCCATAGTGAAGATGGGGTCATTGTGGAAAAAAAATAAAATGGACCTCTGCACAGCAACCTAACCAATTAGACAAAATCAAAGTCTATCATTTTAATCCCTATTTGTGAAAAGTTCCATCCACTGCTACTGATGAACACAAGCGGCACCAGCTCTTTGGCTGGCTTCTGCAGTACCCTCCTAACTACCCACTATTTCTCTTACCTATCTACCTATTCTCCTGCTCGTGTCCCATCAAGCATCCTCTCATTCTACTCAAACTGTTTAATGCCCTTCCCAACCTCTCATAGATGGGCCATCTGCACAGAGTCAATGTTCTTCTCCCAACCTTTCTAAATACCTGACTGTCCCTTAGCTCAGTTTGAGGTTCATTCCCTTAAAAAAAAAAAAAAAATCTACTCTTGTTACAGGCAAGTGTTATCTCCCTCCATTATGGCAGACCAAATTGTATTTTTATCTTACCATTCTCCTGAAACTAGCATATGGCGTTGCTCAATAAGCATTAAAAATGAATCTGTGGTGATATTTTGTTTATGACCTAATAAATGCACTGGAGATCAGTTTGCAAAGCCAGCCACACTAGTTAGCTATAGAAACTAGACAGTGGTGGTACACACCTTTAATCCCAGGACTCAGGAGAAAGGCAAATGGATCTCTATAAGTCCAAGACCACCCTCTGGGCTACTGGAGAGTGAATCAGAGCTCACACCTTTAATCCTAGGACTCAGGAGAGGTATTTAAGACAGGAACAGGGTCTCAGAGTTGGTCTCCATATTGAGGCCACACTGAGGGTAGGAAGACATTGAAGTCTCTAGACACGTTGAGGAGAGCATAGGAGTCTGAGTGAATCTGAGGAGTACTCAGGTTAGGAGCAGTCTGAGGATTGCCCCTTTGGTCTGAGCTGAGGTAGAGGTAAGAGCTAGTGGGCGGCTGCTTTGCTGATCTTCAGCTTGAAGCCTGAACCTCAATTATTTTTCGTGCTACATGAATCAAAAGCTGACAGGCTTCTGTAGTTTCTAGTTTAGGTCGTAACTATGAACTCTCCATAGTAAACCCACTTAATAACAGCAAAGACAAGTTTGCAAAATCTAGTAAACAATAAAGTTTGTTTCTCACTCAAATAATACAATCCTGGAAGTACTGAATGGTATCATTTTTTTTTATTCTTATTTCCTCTTATTTTCAGTCACAGTGAATGAATCAATCAAGTATCTGAGTGGTTCTATTTTAAATCCCCACTCATATAGTATTCGAATTACCAATGCCTTTAAATATTTCACAACATTTCCTTTTAAAATTTCAGTCTTCTTTGTAAAAGGATTATGCTGTAAGTTAATGCTATATGTAAAAGCTAAATGTCCACATCAGTTCCAAACTATAGTATCTCAGCAACTATTACTGCTAGAAAAGCAATCCCTCCTCCCTATAATACTTGGGTACACCTCCTGGAAATAAAACAAAGAAATAAAAAAATACTCCAAAGGAAATGCATTAGAATAGGTCTCTAAGACTATATGTGACTTGGTAAAGTGACCAACATGCTTTCAAGTGGTAGGAAGTATCTTACTGTCCCATGTCTAACGAGGTGACCTCTAATTTCTCAATTAGGTTCTGGAGCTAAGGCATCATTATTAATACACTGCTTGTTACAGAGTCGGAGGTTCTGTTCTCAACACCTAGATTTTTATAAATACTTTCATGGTTTAGGGAAGTTTTTCTAAAAATTGTCTTGACTCAATGAAGGGGGCTCACCTTGCATCAGAAGCAAAGTAATATTCAACTGCCTTTTCCTCCACAGGGAAAAGGCATGTCGTGCTGTCCACACGGGAGAGATTGCAGCTTCCTTTCTTGTCTTTGCCTAGAGCACAGAGATAACACAAAATCAGTAAGCACAGAAAATCATGCAACAATATAGAAATAGGTGGTATAACTGTTCATAAAGTCAACAACAAAAAAAGAGCAACACAAACAAATTCAGCATTTCTCAAATTTGAGGTATCTCACTGGATTTCCATGCAATAAGCCAGTAAGAACAGATTAAGAAGGGCAGTAAAACAACTACAAAGACTGTAAGGCAGACAACAGTGCTACACTATGAACTCTACAATGTTATTTCTTTTCAGGTAGAAAAGAATTTATTAATAATAGTTTATTAATAATAACTTTTAAAAATCTAGAGGCTGCAGGTCTAGAAAAATGGCTGAGATTGTGGTGGTCTGAATAGATATGGCATCCACAGACATGTGGCCTTATTGGAGTAGGTGTGGCTTTGTTGGTGGAAGTGAGACACTAGGTTGGTGGGCTTTGATATCTCAGAAACTCAAGTCAATTCTCTTCCTACAGTCCAAATGTACAACTCTCAACTCCTTCTCCAACACCATGTCTGCCTGCATGCTGCCATGCTCCGTGCCATAATGATAATGGACTAAAACTCTGAAATTCTAAGTCAGGTTCAATTAAATGTTTTTCCATTATAAGAGTTGCTGTGGTCATTGTGTCTCTTCACAGCAATACCACCCTAATTAAGATAAAGATAATGAGCACTCATTGCTACTGCAAAAGGACCCAAGTTTGGTTCATAGCACCCATATGGTGACTCACATCCATCCATAACTCCAATTTGAACAGATCAGATTCCTTCTTCTGCATCCTTGGTACCAGGAACACTTGTGATACACATACATACATGCAGGCAAAACATTCATACATATAAAATACAGCTTTTAAATAAAAAAACTAAAAAACATAATCAATATGGTGCAATGAAAAGTAAAGGCAGACTAGTACCAAGTTAATTTTTTAAAAAACATTTCTTGAGCTTTTTAATAGCAAGTCAGCACAGCAAATCAGGCGTATAATATTCAATTAAAATCAAAGCAAAGGGGACTGATAAGATGGCTCAGCAGGTAAAGGCACTAGTCACTAATCCTTAAACCTGAGTCCACTCCTCAGGCCCCATATGGTAGAAGAATACTAATTTCCACAATCTATACCTCACTGCCACACATATGCTGGGGTATATGAGGTATGTGTACTGCATATATACACATACATGAATAAATACATATAATTAAAAAGCAAAGCACAAGCCACTTTAACCATGACATGCCGATATGGTACCCAGTCACAGGAAATGCTATAAGCCAAGAATCTCTCCTGTCTCAGTAGTGCATTTCCAGTATCTTTTTAATTCAGGCACTTAATTCTTCATCAGCAATAATTGTTTTTGTTTTCCCTTTTTGCTAATTCACAACTAACATATAAATGAGGAAGTATGCTGGTATGACAAATTCTTTAAATTAAAGCCATGCTTATAGTTCTAGTACCTGGGCGGTCAGAGGTAGGAAGATTAGCTCAAGGCCATTTCAGTTACATAGTTTGAGGTCAGACTGGGCTACCATGAACAGTTATGCCCTTTCTCCAAAGCCAGAGCATAGAGGTCTTTATAAACCAAGGGCAGAATATCCACAGAATACCACAAGTTACTTGTAGTAAACATTCATATCTTATCCTCTAAAATGTATCTACAATGACTCTTAGAAAAGCATCTAAGTTCTACCTGTGGCTATTTAAGCCTGAAATCAAAACAGTATTTCCTAGCCAAACTCAAAAGCAAAGATGATAGTCAAACTTTAAAATACAACTATACATTGACATACTATAAAAAGGTAGCAATTGCTCACAAAGGCATAGCACCAAAGGAATCTATTGCAATGCTAATTTAACAGCTACTTGTTCTTGTCAAAAATCTTAAAACTGCCCATTAAAAAGTGAATTTTAAACCAAGGAGCTAGTGGCAAACAATTTTTATCCAGCACTCAGGAAAGCAGAAGCTAGCATATTTCTGTTGAGTTCAAGGCCAGCCTGTCCTATATAGCAAGTTCTAGGTCAGTCACAGTTACATAGAGAGATGTTGGAGAGATATCTCATTGGTTAATAGCACTGGCTACTCTTCCAGAGGACCTTGGTTGGATTCCCAATGTCCACATGATAGCTCACAACTGCTTGTAACTCTAGGGACAGAGGATTCAATACCCCCTCTTCTGGCCTCTAAGGTAACTGCATGCATGTAGTACATAGACATGCATTTAAACACTCATATACAAGAAATATTAAATAAAACCTCAAAAAATTGTTTAATAATTCTTTTAAAAAAAACACTAAATTGTTTGTTTCTAAAAAGATTACCATCACATGTGCAAGCCTCTAATCCTAGTACTCTAGAAGTTAAGGCAGGAGAATCAACAGTTTGAGGCCAACCTCAGCTATATAGAGTAAGACTTTGTCTCAAAACACATAATCTTAATTGAAGAGAAGTAGAAGTACAACCAAGATCCAAAATTTAAAAAATACAACCAGCTCTGTTTCTAAAATGTCCTAAAGTTTAGTATAACTCCAAATATTTGTAACTTCAGTATTAAGACAACAGAAGTATATCTCATTGAAATATTTAAAAGAAGCTGAGGCATCACTGCCCATAAGTGTCTATAAAATTCTTTTCTAATTGAGGATTCTCTCTTGTTCAACTGAAATGAAATACAGTATCACCCACTTTTCAGTGGGAAGAGGTGGCTTTAAGTTGGAGACAATGGCAATGGCCTGAAAGCAAGCCCAAAGCTCTCTCTACAGCCCTTCTACCAAGACTGTTCTCAAGACAGCATAGCACTGAGCTCCACAGCATCTACCTACTAGAATTAGAGGGACATGGGTATCAAGTGTCATCTCCCAGGATATGTTCCTTTCAACTTTTGAAAACCTTACTCATTTTTTATTATTATTATTTCCAAAAGCCACCCAAAATAGCCTACAAGATAGCAATTATGACACACAATAAGCAGTACTGTCACGGGAATCTAGAACTGTAGAACCAGCTTATGTGTCATCATTGGTAGATGAGTCTTTTTTTTTTAATTTATTTATTTTTATTTTTTGGAATGTACTGGGAAAAAAAGTATTACAGCAGGAAAAGTATCATCAAGCATTGAAGGTCGTTTAAGGAAATAATTTTCTTCCCATGTAAAACATGAAAGCAGTCACCCAAAGATGAACACTCTCAGCATTCTTTGGTAACCATTGTTCAAAAAGACAAGAATTACATATTAATAATGAAGGTTTCAATTTTCTGAACCCCTACCTTATACATGGAAAGTTCTTAGCAGTAAACAAGCAAAAAATACACTGTTGTCTTTATTTCTGTGTAATTCAATAAAATGGTTCAGAGTCTGCATAAAGACATACTAAGAAATCCATTTTTGGACATGTGTGGGGCACATTGCAGCACTCAAGAGACATGGACAGGATTATGAGTAAAGATCAGCCTTGGCTACATAGCAAGTTTGAGGTATTGTATGCTATGCAAGATCCTATTTCAACCTCCTCTCAAAAAAAAAAAAAAAAAAAAAATTGGTGCTGGAGAGTTGGCTCACTAGTTACTAATATTTCCTGTTCTTTCAGAAAACCCAGATTTGGTTTCCTGAACCCCTATCAGGTGGTTCATGACAATATATAACTGCAGCCCCAGGGAATCCGATGCCTCTGGTCTCCCAGGGTACTTTCACTATCATGCACATACTCACATGCAGACATACATGTCTACATATAATAAAAATATAATACATATTTAAAAAAACAAAACAAAACCAGGGAGCCCAGGATACAAGCCAGCAGTAAAACACTTGCCTAGTGTGTTTAAGGCTCTGGGTTTGAATACCATCCCAGAACCAATAAATAATAATAAATCCAAAGCAGAATATGACTTAAATTAAAATAAAACCAATGAAAATCTAAAAGTAAAATGTCATGCACTAAATACTAAATAAAGACCATCTAAATCTAGCTTAGCTAAAAGTGAGGCTAAATGACTTGGAAGCAGCTGTTTAGAGTTCAGTGTTCCTTCCATAATCAAAACATGCATCCTATGATTTTTAAAATAGGAAGGAAAAAAGGCCTTAGATTTGAAATATTCCTCAAACCTCTCATTTTAGGAAAACGGTTATGAATTAATGCAACTTTCAAAATGGCAAAAGCAAACAGACAAAATATATTCTGCAAATTAGAAAAATGTCAGAACATCTCCCCACAAAATAAGCATTTTTAGAGCTTTGTATACTTCAAAAGCAAAGAATTAGTAAATGAAGGGAAACAAGTGAAATCCCTCCATCCATGCAGAGTGCATTCCCACCTCTTTCTGCCTGTGATCCCCACCATGTGAATTTTGATCCAATCTGAGTCCTAGCTAAGGATGCACAACAGAGAAAAATTCTTCTTGTCAGTGTCACAACAAGTTTTTCATGTCTACATACAACTATGCACAGGTATACACAGATCTGACTGAACAGCATTACCACAGAGTATAGAACAGGGTTCTCAGCTGCACTGTCCTTACAATGTAATGCAACAGCTTACCTGTTCTGTACAGAATTGGAATGTGATCTGTAGAAAGCTTATGTTCACTCCGCACACCAATCAAGAGGGGGCTACCTCGCCTGAAATGCAAGACGAGTCACAATCAAACCTTTTGCATAAATAATGTACTAACAATACAAAATTTAAGTATGAATTCAAAATTCATTTTAATTTGAAATGTAATGCTCTTCAAATGATTTAATTTAGAAATGATCATGATGTTCTTAGAGCAATGAGAACATTTAAGATCTGCTAACAGAAGGGTATCTTTAATCTGAAGGCAGGATCCTAAGGATATCATTGGTGTCTGTGTATAATTGAATGAAAAGTTCCACTCGACACTAAAAGAATAACAATTTAAAATATAATGCTATAAAATATGAGTTACATACATATATACATATAGTTGTGTATGTGTTATACATATTTTATGTATTATATATAATTACATATTTATAACATGTTATCAAACATGAATTGAACTTCAGGTATAACAAAATAACTACATTAGAAAACTGAGTCCCTAGGCCACACCTGAATACTTCTAATAAATAGTACTTCTAATAAACTGGCAAATTACAATTGCATTAAAGTTTTACTGAGACAGTGAAGCCCTTCTGCATCTGTTTCATGCTTGACAGCAATTCTGAGTGCTGGAAAGGCTATGTGATCCAACAAACTCAAATATTTGCTATCCCCCCCCAAACAAAAAAAAAAAAAAAAAAAAATAAACAAAAAATATTTTAAAAAAAAATATATTTAATTTTTCTTTTCCCCCAAAAAAAACACATTTTTTATTAAATATTTTTTTAAAAAAAAACAAAAAAAAAGGTGGTACAATTACTTAAAATTTATGGTTTTTTTTTTAAAAAAAGCCATCCTACCCAAAACCATCCACAGATTCAAAACAATCCCCATTAAAACCCCACCACAATTCTTCACCGACCTTGAAAGGATAATAATTAACTTTATATGGAAAAACAAAAGACCCAGGATAGCCAAAACAACCCTATACAATAAAAGAACATCAGGAGGCATCACCATTCCTGACTTTAAGCTCTACTACAGAGCTATAGTTCTGAAAACAGCCTGGTATTGGCATAAAAATAGACAGGTAGACCAATGGAATCGAATTGAAAATCCTGATATTAATCCATGCACCTATGAACACCTGATTTTCGACAAAACAGCTAAAATGATACAATGGGGCAAAGACAGCATCTTCAACAAATGGTGCTGGCACAATTGGATGAGGGTGTGTAGAAGACTGCAGATAGACCCATGTCTGTCGCCATGCACAAAACTCAAGTCCAAATGGATCAAAGACCTCAACATCAATCCAGCCACATTGAACCTCTTAGAAGAGAAAGTAGGAGGTACCCTTGAACAAATTGGTATAGGAGACCGCTTCTTGAACATAACTCCAGGGGCACAGACACTGAAAGAAACAATTAATAAATGGGACCTCTTCAAACTTAGAAGCTTCTGTAAGGCAAAGGACACAGTTGACAAGACCAAACGGCAGCCCACTGACTGGGAAAAGATTTTCACTAATCCTATATCCGACAAAGGGCTGATCTCCAAAATATACAAAGAACTCAAGAAACTAGTCAACAAAACACCAAATAACCCTATTAAAAAATGGGGTACAGAACTGAAGAAAGAATTCTCAATGGAGGAAATCAAAAAGGCTGAAAGACACTTAAGAAAATGCTCCACATCCTTAGCTATCAGGGTAATGCAAATCAAAACAACTTTGAGATACCATCTTACCCCTGCCAGAATGGCTAAAATTAGAAACACCAGTGATGACTTATGTTGGAGAGGATGTGGAGAAAGTGGAACACTCCTCCACTGCTGGTGGGAGTGCAAACTCATACAGCCACTTTGGAGATCAGTATGGCGGTTCCTCAGGAAAATGGGAATTAGTTTACCACAGGACCCGGCAATCCCCCTCTTAGGCATATACCCAAAGGATTCACATCAATGCAACAAAGACATCTGTTCAACTATGTTCATAGCAGCACTATTTGTAATAGCAAGAACCTGGAAGCAACCTAGATGCCCTTCAATTGAAGAATGGTTAATGAAGATGTGGCACATCTACACAATGGAATACTACTCTGCAGGAAAAAATAATGGTATCTTGAAATTCGCAGGCAAGTGGATGGCACTTGAAGAAACCATCCTGAATGAGGTAACCCAGTCACAAAAAGAGGAACACAGTATGTACTCACTCATATATGGATTTTAGACCTAGATCAAATGATCACCAGCCTATAATTCACATCACCAGAGGAACTAGGATACAAGTTGTATTCTAAGAGATTCATATAAAGTCCCTCACAGAACTGGGAAGGGACAAGTCCCCCAGACCTCAGGTATAGTGGGGGAGGACAGCTAATGGAGAGAGAAGTAGGAGAAAATGAGAGGGAGGAGAGGAAGGCATGTGTGACTAGGAGGATTGAGCCTGGTTAGGAATGGAAAATAGGAAAGAGAGAGAGAGACAGAGACAGAGAGAGAGAACATAAAAGAGGGAGCCAATATTGGTTTGAAGATAAAGTTGAACACAAAGAAAGGTCGAGGGAACTACAAGACTGCTCCCAACTAACAATCTCAGCTTCCGTGGAAAGGCTATCATAAATGCCCTTCCCGGAGAGTGAGATCAACAACTAACTTCTCCATGGAGTCCTCAACTAATGCCTGTTGAAAACAGGAGCAAACACCCATACATAAACACTGAGTCAAACTAGAACCCAGAAGCAGATGGAGAGGACAAGACCATGCGGTAGAAGTACATAGAGACAGCTTACCTGAACAAGGAGGAGCTAAGGGCCACTAGACTGATAGCTGGGAAGCCAACAGAGGTCTGACTCGGACTCCCCTGAATATGGGTCTCAGCCAGAAGGTCTGAGCAGTCTAAGAGACCTCAGACAGTGGAGCCAGGATGTATCCCTGGTGCACAAAAGGACTTTGCAAACATATCCCCCATGGAGGGATAACTGCCTTATTCTAGAGATAGGAGAGAAGCCCTAGTCCCTACTTCACAGGACCTGTCAGATCTACATGACCCCAACTGGATGGCATTCCCCTACATATTGTATTGTGGTGGGGGGTTGGGAGGGGAGGGTGTTTAGAGTGCATGGGAGAGGGTAGAGAGGGCAAAAGGGAGGGAAGGAGGGAGGGAGGGCTTGGGGGGGGGGAGGGAGGGAGGGAGAGGGAACTGGGATCGACATGTAAAAATAATAATAAAAAAAAAAAAAAAAAAAAAAAAAAAAAAACGCTTTGACTCCAAAATTTAAGTTGAAGAACAAGTTACTGGGGAAAAGTATTTCTATTTTTGTTTCCACAGAAAATGAAAAGATGTGGATTCCTTCCAGACTAATGTGGTTTGATCACACCAGACCGCCTGAAACAGAGTACAAGCTGATCCTACATTCCAAACAGCTGGACAAAACAGCCCTACAGACTACAGCTAGGATATCTGAATCTTCTTCGAATCCCCCAAGACAGCGCCCCTTACCAGCAGGAAGTAGTTTGGAAAGAACGACGCCCAAATTCCCAAATATTGTGTATAAATGTTTGTTTTCATTTAATTGGACTTTGTTATATAAAATTAAATAAAAAATACTCTATATGCAAAAAAAAAAAAAAAAATAAACATATGTGTAAATTAAAAAAAAAAAAAAAAAAAAAAAAAAAAAAAAAGAATATGGCATGTTTACAAAAAATATGGAGAAAGTTAATGCTTCAGAGCTGAAATTAAAGAATATTCCATATCCAAATTCATAAAGAGCCACCAGGCTCACCAAAGACAAATCCCAATGCCAAAGGGTATTTGCTTTACTCTGAGATTCTGTTAAAGAATGGTACAAGAAAGGAGTATATAGAAATAAACACAGGCAAACCTCTAAGAAAACAATAAAGGGCCATTCACAAGCTACTGAGAATTATCCTGTATCCCAAATGTTACAAAGTACATGTCATCATTAGTCTTAAAGCTACTGTACCTTGTGCCAACTGCTTGCCCAGGAAAATGAACACTTTTAAACACAAGTGCAAAAGCACCTTCCTATGGAGGAAAAGGAAACATCAGCAATATTTCTTGGTAATAATTATCTAACAAAAACATTTAAAACATACTGACTTTTTCATGGACACTTCTTTTGAACTGGTTTTTTGTTTGTTTTATTTTTATTAAAAAAAAAAAAAAAGTATCCATTTTAGATGTAGCAAGATCTCCCTAACATTCAAGTTCACATTTTAGGTAGATTATTGATTCATGAGCTCTGATGTGAACAAACTAACATCAAGCTTACTTTCAAACACTGCTTCTAAAGGCAGACCCCCTGGAAAGTTACCTGGCCATTTCAAAACAGACACATATCTTTCAGACTACTAATTTGTTCAGGAGGTCAAAATTAGCAAAGATCCCAAACTCCAAAACCAAAACCCATCCTTGGCCCTCATCATATTCCAATACTAATTTCCACTCTTTCTGCCATCAGTCTTGAGCTTAACAAGTATACACAATCATAATTATTAAACGGGATGGAGAAACCGGGTAGTGATGGCACAAGCTTTTAATCCCAGCACTCAGGAGGCAGAGGCATGTAGATCTCTGTGAGTTTGAAGGACAGCCTGGTCTACATAGAGAGCTCGCTCCAGGATAGACAGGGCTGTTACATAGAGAAACCCTATCTAAAAAAAAAAAAAAACAAAACCAACCAAACAAATAAACGAATAAATGAATGAATGAATGAACGAGAGATGGCTCTCTGATAAAAGTAATGCTGCTCTTGAAGAGGACTTGAGTTTGTTTCCCAGCACCCACACTGAGCAGCTCACAACCACCTGAACCTCTAGCTTCAGAGGGTCCAATGCTCTCTACTGGTCTCCACAGACAGTAATACTGACTCTACACATGTACACACACAGGTGTATGCACACATACACACACACAGAGAGAGAGAGAGAGAGAGAGAGAGATGCTGACAATAAAATACCTTACAAATAAAGCTGTCTATTGTTAGTCCTTTGAATTAAAAAAAAAAAAAAAAGAAAATGAATCAGCATAGTACCTGCTAATCAAACCTCATTTTAAGAAAGCTATTTGAAATTAACATTAGCATAATTATTTTGCATATTGTCTATGTATTGAACATGCATGTTAGTATGTGTGTGGCCATACATGGTTGTGGTTATAGATGTGGGTGTGTAGCACATGTATGAATATAGGTAGAGGCCAAAGTTTTGATGCTGGCTATCTTATTCAATTGCTCTGTTCCTTATATACTAAGGTAGGGTCTCTCACATGACCCCAGAATTTGCTGATTCAGCTAGTGCACCCAGCCAACCAGACAGCTTGCTCCAGAATCTTGTTCCACCTCCTGGGAGCTGGCACTATAAAAAGACTTCCATGTCTACCCAGCATTTCTGTGGGTTCTGGGAATCTGAACTCTGGCCCTCATATTTGCATTGCCAGTGCTTTACTGCTGAGTCATTCATTAACTCAAGCCTAATATAGTAATCTTAAAAGTATGGTTTTATACCAGTTGTTGAATAACTCTCTCCACCAAGGTAGTAAAACTGACGTCCTGACTTTCCCAGTTGTCATACATATACTTGACAAGCTTAGCAATGGTTTCTGTATCTGTTTCAGATTCAAAGTCATAGCCTTTGCTTTCCTGCAAGTAGAAAAAAGAAAAAAGACATTTAAATAAATACAATGTTCAAATCGTTTTTAACTTCATGGTTCCTTTATGTTAACCTTTTAAAAAAAAATTATTAGATTTATTTTATTTTATGTGTGGCTGTTTTGCCTGCATATATCCCTGTGCATGTATGTTGATTGCTGCCGTTGGAGGTCAGAAGAGGGCATCAGATCGCCTGAAACTGAAGATACAGACAGATGTTAAACACCATGTGGGTAATGGGAATCAAATCCAGGTCCTCTGCAAGAGCAACAAGTGTGCTTAACTACTAGGTCATCTATCTAGCTCTGTGCAAATATTTTCTAGAATTTTTTGCTCAAAAACATAATAATGTGTGTGCATGTATGTGATGAGTACAGGCATAAGTGTGTCACAGTATGTGTTTGGAGGTTGGAGGACAACTTTGAGGAATCAGTTTTCTCTTTCCACTGTGCAGGTTTCAGGTAATGAACTCAATGTTGTCAGGTTTCAGTGGCAAACACTGAGCTATCTCACCAGCCTAATTACTAACTTTTTTTGGATGTCATACTGAATTTACACAAAATTTAAATTAATTTTAATTTAACTTAAATTAATTTATAATAATATATTTAATAAATGATTCAATTAATTTAAGATTATTAATTTTAATCAAAATTAAATTCTGATTATAGAGAAACAAAATGTTATTAAGTAGAAGTTAATACACTTAACATATATACCTCATATGAATTAAATCATTAATAATTAAAATATAGTTAGAGTATATAATATTCAAAATACTAGTTTCATAATAAGCAATGATTCTTTGGTGATCTTTAGCTTTCCAGTTGTTATACATGGTTATACATGGCCATTTAAACTTAAATTTAAAACCCAGTTTCTCTGTCACAGACGTTGAGCAGTCCCGTATGCACAGCTCCCACTATGCTGGATACAGATAATTCCCATCACTGCAGAAACTCAACAGACATTGCTGAGGTGGCACTGACTCAGTACAGCACAGCTAGCCCTCAAAATGCTCCACAAGAAATCAGAGCTGCTCCACCCTCAACAGAGAGAAATACAATAAGCCATACACCCTGTGATTATCTTGGGAATTACTTGAGCAGTCTAAATAATGTTGTACATCCCTGACTCTCAGAAATATTCTCAAAGATAGTGTCTTCTGGTGTCACTTTACTTACCAAAAACTTTTTCAAGTCTTTGTAGTTGGTGATGATTCCATTATGAATAACAATAAATTCTAGAAGAGATTAAAGTATTGACAAAATATAAGAAGTCTGATAAATCCTATGATTGTGGACAGATTTTCCTTTATGTTTTCTTTTTTTGTTTTTGTTTTTGGGGTTTGAATCCAGGACTTTCTACATGTTAGGCAAGCACTCTGCCACTTAAACTACCTCCCTGGTCCATCTATTTCACATTTTTGAGACAAGGTCTCCCCAATGTAGCCCAGGCTAGCTTTGAACTAGTGGGAACCCTCCAGCTCTGTCAACCAAGTGCTAGGGTTACAGGTGCGCACCACCACATCTGGTGGTAAATAGATTCTTCTCAAGTCAAAAAGTTAGTATACTAGTGAGTGTCCTCCAGGCTATGTGCTTCTTTTTGTGCCTTGCCATCGGGCAACTCAACAGCACTGCTTCTGTGCTGTGCTGATGCACACAGTGTTAGTGGGCATGCACATGAGGAAACAAAACAGTTCACTTCTGCTGCATTAAACTACCACCCTAACACTACAGAACAAAAGGAGTAGAGCAAGTCTCCTGCACCTGTTTCCTCACTTGCAAAACCCTTACTGACCACTCTCAGTCTCTGTTCATTTATTCTTTGCTTACGTTTAAAAAGAAGTCTTTTACAACTAAAACATTCTCAGTGACACTAAATAAAGTTTAAGAACTAATAACTACATAATTACCAAGTTCTATAAATTGGTTTGTGTAAGGTCCAGATGACTCCTGGAAATGTCACATGAAAATGTCAAAGTAGCATTCCAAGAGTAAATAAATATAATCCTGAGAGATCAATTTCATCTATTTTTATTAAATGATGACTGAAAAATGTTAAAAATAGATAACCAAGAGTTAACAGTATTATGTGCATCCATGACAGTATACAGTGTGGCTTTAAATTCACAAATCAAAAGAATAATTATGTATGGAGATGGTGACACACGCCTTCAATCCCAGCACTCAGGAGGCAAAGGAAGGAGGACTTCTGAGTTCAAGGCCACCCTGGCCTAACAGTGAGTTCCAGGCCAGCCAGGGCCTCAAACTGAGACCCTGTCAAAACAATAACCAAAAAGAATAATTATTACTAAATACAATGGTTTTGTTGCCCAGGCTGGTTTCAATTTCCTGCCTTAGCCTTCTACATAACCAGAACAACAGGCATGGGTCATCACACCTAATGCAAATCTAATTTATATTAAAGCATTCAAAATGTTCTGTATACCTAGAGACCTAACATTTGTCTCAAAAAAGAAAGTAATCAAGACTACTGAGCTTACTGGGATCAATTCAAAAAGAAACAGGAACCAACTCAAATAAGCTCCCAGTATGGCAAAGCAGGAAAATTGCTGCAGCAACCAGAGGACTACTCAGTGTATTCAGATGAATCAACTATCTACCACAAACTACTTGGGAGGTGCCTCAATAGTGCAGCACATAGCACTTTAGTCTCATCAACTGTTTTGGGAGAAGGAGAAAGGAGCAAGAATGGTAAAGATAGAGTGCAGTGTGGGACATGTAATGACATATGTACGTCATAAGAAAACCCATTCTTTGTATGCTAACTCAAAAATCAACTTCAAAGACACTCAAAATAATTACCATGATAATTACCAAAATAATTACCATTTATAATAATGAAGAAAAAAAACCCCACATTACGCAGCATAACATTAAAATCACTTCATCAAGCATTTACCCTGACTTTCCTATGAAACTATACCTCAGGGTAACCAAGCAGTTATAGACATATCCGAGCTCCAACTGAATGAGGACTTGAGGCACTTAAGGCATTCAATAATCCCTACAATCTCAGCAGTAATCACCAGTGGCTAATATGACAAATACTGTGAACCAGCTATGGAAATAATCACAATTCTCATTTATGAGAAATACTCAGGGTTGTAGACACAGCTCATGCTGAAGACCTGCTAGCATCAGTGCTCCCTCGGCTCAATGCCTGGGGCTGGAAAAATAAAATAACAGATCTATTTAGGAGGGCATGATGGCACACAGCTATAATCTCAGTTCTTGGGAGACAAGGAAAGGAGGATCAATGCAAGTTCAAGGCCAGCCAGACCTACAGAGTGAAACCATTTTAAAAAACAAATAAAACAGACCAAAAAAACTGAAGACACAGGGAAATATTAAATGACATGACTAGATATAATTAGCAATACCTAGACTACAGGAAATTTACAGATAAACAACACATTAAATTATAAGAGAAAGAGATAAAAAAGACTGGCATATTGAAGAGTTACCAATCTTTATTATTGGAATTCGAAAATATCCTATACAAGGAGAATTGTTGAAGTTTGGTTATGGGATCAAGTTTTGTATACTCCCTGAACATGTTTTGAAATTTCCAGATGAGAATCTAATTAAAATAACAACATAAGCACCTTGATTTTCCTCCCATCACTGGCCCACTAAAATCATTTCCAAGTGCACACAAGCTATTCATACCATTATTTTTATCAGAGCGTTGGGGGTGACTATTGATAGGACTAGGTTCTCCATGTGTTGCCCAACGGGTATGAGCTATTCCAAGATGTACGTCAAATTCTATATCCAAGTCCATATCTTGTTGTTCTGTAAAAGATAAAATTTAAAACTATATTTGATAATGGTATAGATGTAAGCTATATTAAATATAACTACACCAGTACCCCCATTCACAAGGTTTTTGTTTCAAGATACTCAAAGTGTCTTTCAAGGTGTCTGCAACTGAAAATGGTATAGAGCTTTACATATAGCATGTGTTTTCCTATACGATGTCATTATGGCCTACGGGCACATCATTTTCTGCTTGAGACGTGACAGCAGAACTAGCACCAATTTGGTTTTTTCTCAATTTTAAATAGAAGGTTCATCCTTACCATATCTCCTAGCAGACTCAGCATTTGGTTTTCCTTCTTTCCTTGTTAACTAAGAACTTTCACCCTCTCCCTTCACAAGAAGCACCTTCTGGGTTTTCTGGCAGATCAGCAAACCAGCATCAGCATATTGCATTTGGGATCATTATCAAGCAAAGTAAAAACCATGCCAAGTGGACACATATGAGCAGCCCACATATGCGAGGCCCATCCTCAGGATGGCTCTTCTGAAGCTTCTGCATTTAGAGGTCTGAGCTTGCCCTAAACCCACTGCACCTAAATTCCTTCCTAGTTGCTATGATCACTTCTGAAGCTCAGAGACAATTTAAATCCAAGCAGTTAACAAAATTACTTTTCTTCCTTCTCTTCAACCTTTAAGTCTTCCTCAAAATGGATTCCAAAATACGAGAGAACGGGAAAAATCAAACTAAGTACATTACTGTGAACTTCTTCATCCAGTGCCTTAACTTTTCCTTTCTTCTTAATGAGTTGTATTTTGCAGGCATTGGCTTCCCAGTCTTTGTCATTGCCGCCATCAAGTCCCACACCTAAATTATCAAGAGACAGGTAAGAAAGCAAGACTTAGAAACTGGTTGTTAAAGTACCAATATGAGGCAATAATAATAATACTAATAACAACAACAACAACAATAATAATAATAATGGGAAATTACATGTTCATATAATTAACTAATTTACCAAGTAGATTTTCTGAAAATCTATTACGTATTAAGTGACAAAAAATGAAAATAAGGCTGGGGGAAAGCAGTTCAGTGGTAAAGAGCTTATTTAGCATGCATGGGGCCTTGGGTTCAAACCCAGCATCAGAAAACAGGGTAAGAGAAGGGAGGTCATGAAAGGGGTTAGGAGAACTCAATTCTCGTCTAACAGTCTGTTGAGAGAACAGAGAAAGACTAATGATAATCAAAATTATTATTTGTACAAGCAATTGCTGCCAGGCAGTGGTGATGCACGCCTTTAATCCCAGCACTTGGGAGACAGAGACTTGTGGATCTGAGTTCAAGGCCAGCCTAGTCTACAGAGCAAATTCTAGGTCAGGGCTACACAGAGAAACCCTGTCCAAACACACACACACACACACACACACACACACACACACACACACACACACACACACACACACCAAAAAAGCAATTGCTATATAAATTATAAACTGTGAAAAAGTGCCATAGGCACAATGGAGAACTACAGAAGACAGGCACGCCCCCTGAGGGGAAAACAAGTAATAGTCAGGAAAGTATCTCTCAACATTTTACTTTAGTTACTAAGGAACTTGAAAAACTTTCATAGACCCTGAAGGTCATTTCAAACAGAAACAATATAGAAACAATATGGCAAATGCTCTAAAAATGGCAGAGAGAAGGATGGGTTGGTGAGGAAGAAAGAGGATATTACATCAGCAACAAAGCAAAAACATAGAAGACCTGCTTTAACAGGTGATGGAGATAAATGAGGGAAACACAAGGACCTGGACAGGGTTTGAGAAGGCAAGGTTCTCTCCTGGATTCAAAGGATCTGTAGAGTGATTATGAATAGAATGGGGCATAGAACAGAATGAGGTACGTTGTGAGAACCACAGTGTTCAGTTCAATTAAGAACCTGCAAAGTGCACTGTGGTCTATCCAGGAAGATACTTCTAGAAGGCACCTGGAAACATGGGTCTGCAACATAGGAAGCATACTGGGATAAGAAATACATAAGACAGGTGTGGTAGCACAAACCTGTAATCCTAGCACTCCACATACTGAGGCAGCAGAATGGTAAGTTTGAGACCAGTGTTGTCTACAAAGAAAGACTGTCTCAAAAACCTAACAAAACATATGGATTGTAAATCACAATATACAGGGTTAATGAAGTTATCTCACCATGACAATACAAAGACAGCGAGGTGAGGAAACATTCTCTAAGGAGTAGTGATCATGCCTATAATCTCAGCACTGGGCTATACAGAAGAACCTAATCTCAATAAATAAATACAAAATGAAAAAATCTTCAAGGTTATTCCTATTTAAGACATAAGGAAAGAAGTCTCCAAAGCTGACAGAAAACAATCAGCATCCATATAAGAAGATATGTTGTTGGAAAAGCTAAAACTAGAGAAATTTGAACAACTAAGGTATAGGACTGAAAATGAGAAACCATCACTGCTATCCTTAGGAAGACTAAGGTTGGCCCTTGATTGGCATCTAGGATCTTAGATTTCAGGGGGATGCCTACCATGTGAAAGGGCTGAGTATGGTTCCTGTGCCTAGACTGTTGTTCATGAAAAAAATGTGTCCCTCTGGGATGGACTGCTGCTGGGGGCTGGGCATTGTGCTCTGGGCCCTGAGTCACCAGGGATTTACCTACTAGACAACATTCACATGTACCATCTCAACCTACTGCTAGGGAAGTTAAGAATATCTTGTTAAAAGAGGCCTCTTAGAAGCTTAAGCCTGTTTCCTGCAAACTTCATCCTACACCCATTCCCGTTCCTAATTGTGATCTAGATTCTTCTGCTGTAGTGAATCACAAAGCTACACATTCAACTCTCTGCTGAGGCTCATGAGCCACTGCAGCAACCATGGAATGGGAGCTTCCAGTGGACCCTAACACAGGGAGCTAAAGTCAAAGTGACTCTGCCATTTTTAGTTGGCTTGTCATTAGATAAATCAGAGAATCTTGGCTCAGGATACCACTCAGTAGAAGAGTGCTTACCTAACATGTACAAGACTCTAAACTTGAATCTCCAGCACAAAAAGACAAAAACATTTCTTCATGTTTAAATGACATAGCCTAAGTCCATGGAGAGAAAAAGAAAAGAAAAACAGATGGATTTATAGGGGCTAGAGAGATGGCTCAGAGGGTAAGAACTGTTCTTGCAAGAAACCAGAGTTCAGTTCCAAGCACCCATGTAAAGCAGCTCACAGCCACATGTAGCTCTAGCACCTGCACTCATGCACGCGCACGCGCACACACACACACACACACACACTTTTAAAAAAATCAATTAAATACTTTAAAAGAACCAAGAATTTTTAGGGTAAGGTGCTCTACATCTTATTCCCGTAAAAATGTCCTATGATTTACAGTTTTTTCTTTTTAAAAAATTATTTACGTTTATGTAATGTATATTGGTTTGCCTATATGAGGGTATTGGATCCCTTGGAATTGGAGTTACAGACAGTTATAAGCTGCCATGTGGGTGCTGGGAATTGAACCCAGGTCCTCTGGAAGAACAGCCAGTGTTCTTAACCACTGAGCCATCTCTTCAACCCCCCATAATTTATGTTTTTATAGTCAACTTTTGCTTTATTGTTTGAGACAAAGTCTCCTGCAGTCCAGGCTGGCCTCAAATTTAATATGTATCTAAGGATGACTTTGAACTTATCTTCCTGCCTCTGCTTCCTCAATGCTGGGATTACAGGTATGAACATCAAACCCAGTTTGTGTGTGTGGTGCTAGGGATGAACCCAAGGCTTCAAGTATGCTAACAACTAAGTACCAGCCTCAGCCCCAGTGCAACATTCTTTATAAAGGAAATCACTATGAGAAGCAATGTCCACATAAATGAAATGACATGAGGAAACCCTTCAGACTTGAATTGTATTTAAAAAACAAAGCAATAACAGAATTAAGTCTCCTAAAAATAATAAAAATACTACTTAAGAGTCAAGAATCAATGCAAACCCCATAGTATATTTTTAAAGAAAATACCAGCAGAATCATAGCCTCTGTACTCCAATCGCTGAAGGCCTTTGATTAGGGTCTCCAAGATTTCTCGTCTTGTTCGGGGAACGTGGTAATTTAAATAGGCAAATATACCTGCAAAAAATAAAGAAATATTTAATGGGCAACTCTAATGAATCAAACCTGACATAATTATATTTAGGCTATACAAAAATATAAAGCTAGAGTTCAGTTTTAGAAAAGAAATAAACTCTCATCTCAAATTATTTAGAGCCCATGGAACTTTTTTTTAAAGAGGATCTTCTTATAAACATAAGATTAACAAAAATATGTTCAAATAAATATCTAGTTATTTTCAACAAAGCTTATAAGGTTAATCATTTATTTCCTTAACTGCCATTTTGTCAACTAAATTTATTTTTCTAAAATTAGGCAAACCTGTGGACTATATTGTATATCCTATTGCATTAAACACACACACCTTCTAGTATTTTAAGCCACTATAGTTCCTATAACTATATAGTTAAAATGACTACTTCTACTATCAATAATGTTTAGGGATAAACTGTTTAAAATTTTTTATTTTGGTTTTTTGATACAGGGTTTCTCTGTGTAACAACCCTGGCTGTCCTGGAACTCTGTGGACCAGGATGGCCTCAAATTCAGAGATAATTTGCCTTTGCCTCCTGAGTTCTGGGACTAAAGGTGTGCACCACCAACACCTGGCAACAATTTTTTTTTTCTTTTTTCCCAGACCTGGAGACTACATGTGAGTTAAGTGTTCTAGCATTCAACCACAACCCAACACAGTAATTTAATAATAAAAATATCTAAGTATATAGCTGCCTCAAAATGTCTTGAATCAGGTTCAGGTACTTACAGAAGAGTAAAGACTGTAGAAGCCATAGGTAGTGGAGGATCAAAGCCAAACAGTGTCTTCAGGACATGACAGGACCTCTGAACTCATGAACTCATAATAAATGTGCTTGGCTGTTCTAACATAGAGTGGGAAGGGGCTCATGAACCCCCACCCCTAACTGAAGAGCTATAGATAGTTGAGCTATGGCTTCTGAAGGAGAGAATCAGATTAGGGTGTGGCTCCTGGTAGGTATTTACACCCTTTTGTATCCCTAAAGCCCTCCTCCTGCCATTTTCTATTCCAGTGACATTGATTAGAACATATACTTGTCATTCTGTGTCTGGTTGATTTCACTAAACACAATGTCCTGCAGTTTTCCACCATGTTCCTGAAAATACAGGGTTTCACTGTGTTTATGACTGAGTAGTATTCATAGTTACAAATACACACTTTCCTCATCCATTTGCCAATTAAAAGCATGATTTGTATTTTGAAAATGCTGCAATAAACATGTGGTTGAAATTCTCTTTGACTTAAGAATTTCATCTCAAATGCCCACTAGTGGAATTACTGGATAAACCTTAGTTTTATGTTTAGTCTGAGACATGATGTGAGTGCAGGTGTGTATATGCCACAGTGTATATATGGAGATCAAAGGGCTGCTCTTGGGAGTGGGTTCTTCTACCATGGGTTCAGGGGATCTAACTCAGGTTTGTATAGCAAGTACTTTTACTGCCTGAGCCATCTCACTGGCCTCCATTCCAGACAGGGTCTCACTGTGTAGCTCAGACTAGCACAAATTTACAATCCTTCTGCCTTAGCCTCCTGAGTGCTAGGACTACAGATGTGAAACATCATGCCTGATTCCCTAATACTACTTTATTTAAAAAAAAAAAATGCTAATTTCATAAGCAGAATTTCTTGTTTTTGTTTGCCGGCTTTAATACCCGGATTCAAGTAAACCCCAATGCAGTTTCAGACCATCAGCTTGAGCCATTATGCCCAGCCAAAGCTGTACCTGAAGTATTGACATTTGTTTTAAAAACTATTTTAATGTTTTATTACATTTATTTATGTGTGTGTATATTTGTGTATATTTGTGCACACACATTTATGTGGAGGTCAAAGACAACTTGAATGAGTCAGTCCTCTTCCTTTCTGTGGGTCCAGGAACAGAACTCCAGTTGTGGCTGGGCTTTTAATCCCAGCACTCGGTAGGCAGAGGCAGGCGGATCTCTGTGAGTTCGAAACCAGTCTGGTCTACAGAGTGAGTTCCAGGGAAGGAAGGGCTGTTATACAGAGAAACCTTATCTTGAAAAACCAATAACAGCAGAATACAAATAAATAAATTGAGTCAAAGTTACTAGGTTTAGTTTCAAAAGTTTCTAGAATGTTCATTCTTGCTAATTTTGGGTTCCCAGGAGCAGACATCACAAACTAGCATTAAAAAGCTCTTCCCATCTTCTATTGCTCATTTCCATTAGCCTTAGCACCTATTAACTTCTCTCCTTACCAGGAAATGTGTATTAAGCAATTAGTTAATTCCTCTCACAGCTTCTTTATACCCAGTATGATTTCTAAGGCTGTTAACAGTACTGGTTTTATGAGTCACTCTATCAGCTAGTTTCAACATCCCTCAATTACCTTCAAAGCAATTAGACAGTTTAATTACAAAAAGAAGTTTTTCAGTTTTGGTAGTGGATAAGTGAATAAAAATACATTCAATAGTGACAGTGTAAAATGGAGCCTCACAGTTGGAGAATAGCTATTGTTAACTATACAAATTCATTGAGATGTATAGACTTTGGGTAGCATTGATTTTGATATGTGATATTTGCAAGGATTTTTATAATAAATTTTAAAATATTAAAATAATTCTAATAATTTTTTTTAAGTTGAAAGGTTTGGGAGGTAGCCATTCCTATTATCCTAATACTTGAGAAGGTGAGATAGGATATCAGGAGTTGTGGTGGTTTCAATAAAAATGGCCCCCTTAGAGGAGTGATGAGCAAAGCGGTCAGAACCAGGCTGGAAAACCCCACAGAAACAGCTGACATGAACAAGGGGAGGGAGGGTCATGGACCCCAGACTGATAGCTGGGAAACCAGCATAGGATCATCCAGACTCCCTGAACATGGGTGTCAGTGAGGACTAGGCAGTGGATTTTTATCCTAATATACGAATGGGCGTTGGGAGCCCATTCCACATAAAGGGATACTTTCTCAGCCTAGACACACAGGGGAGGGCCTAGGCCCTGCTCCAAATGATGTGACAGACTTTGAAAACTCCCCATGGAAGGCCTCACCCTCCCTGGGGAGCAGAAAGGAGACGGTGGGTGGCAGGGGAGGAAGGGAAGGAGAGTGAACTGGGCTTGGCATGTAAAACAAGATTGCGTCTAATTTAAACTTTAAAAAAATCATAAAAAGAAAAAAGTGGCTCCCATAGACTCATAGGAAGTGGCACTATTCGGAGGTGTGGCCTTGTTGGAGTAGGTGTGGCTTTGTTGGAGGAAGTGTGTCACTTGGGGGTGGCCTTTAAGGTCTCAGAAGCCACAGCTAAGCCCAATGGCTCTCTTTCTCTTCCTGCTGCCTGTAACAGTAGAGCTCTCAGCTCCTTCTTTAGCACCATGCCTGCCTGCACACCACCATGTTTCCTGCCATGACAATAATGAACTAAATCTCTGAAGCTGTAATAAGAGTTGTCATGGTCATGATGTCTCTTCATAGCAATAAAACCCTAACACAGAAGTTCTCAGCCTGAGATACATCAAACCCTGGGAAAGGAGTGAGACAAAACAATATAGAAGAAAAAATAACCTCTCATCTTTTTAAGTTTCAAATTTTAGCTTAAAGGAAATGAGCTGAAAGGCAGGATCTTAGAAATGTTTCAAATACTGTGTGCTAGCACATTTGTTTTTCATAATCAGTGGAACTCAGTTTAATGGCTGTCATACACGAGTAGCCAGTGTAACTAACAATTTCCTCCTTCAAAGGCTTCCTTCATGAACTAGATCTGATTTCTTTTTTCTTTTTGTTTTACACTTTTCTTCCTGGAACAAGATGAGGAAATAACCTGCAACCAGAATGTTAGGCACTTGACTAAGCACACAACTCATCACTCAAACACAGTTAATTAGCTGGGAGTGGTGGCAGAGTCCTTTAATCCCAGCACTAGAGGATCAGGAGTTCAAGGTTATTCTATTCCCAGCTACACAGTGAATCAAGATCCCATCTCAAAAGACAAGAGAGAAAAGAACTACCAAATACAACACACTAGTAATTAGCCAGCTTGAAAATTCACTACTTACAACTCCAATCTAATTTACATGTTTTGCAAAACCAATCTATTAATAGTAAAAGTTAATTGACTATGAAGTCAGCTCTACTCCAATAATTTCAATATACAATAGGTGTTTCTGTTCAGATATTTTAGAATCTAGAATCTCTACACTTAAACCAGACGTTGAAATGATTAAACTCAGGAAAAACAACACTAATGAGTACGAACTACCTCCTGCTCAGTTCTCTCAAGTAAAAGACTACAAAGAATGTTCTCAATAGCTTCAACTCTTAAAACAATACCTATCTTTAAAAAGTAAGGTAGGCATGGTATGGGAGCCAGGCATGGTATGGTGGTTCATGCCTGGGATCTCAGCACTCATGAGACTGAAGGAGACCTATGAGCTAGACCAGCCTGAGGAACAACATGAGACACTATCTCTTTCTTCTAGTGCTCTTTCTTCTAGTGGTAATGTCAACTGTCAATTTTAAAAGGAAAGGCAATAATATAACTTTTTTATGGACTATAAATGGCTCATTCCCATTTTAGAGTATTATTAGTCATGTCACAAAATTCTCACAGTAACACTTTCAAATAATAATCTTAAAACATGGAATAAAAGAGCCTAACTTTTTTTTTTTTAATGGTTCCAGTAAAGACATGTTGAATAGGTGCACATGTCTGATGTGTGCTCTCTGGCCAGGACTCTTGCCCTGTCTCTTCCACAAGATCAGCTCTGAGCTCGCTTCATGAAGTTATTGATTTAGTAATGGTTCCTCCTGAGACTTAGAAGTAGCAGGAAGTTAATGTGCATTATCACTGTTAGAGCTCTAACTTGAATTCTATTAGGCCTGCTTAAAATAAAGTGACTAGAATTAGGTTTTTTAAAAATGCAAGATAAATTCAAGAAGTGCTACCAGCAAGGTGTCTTTCATATTTGTAATCACAGCACCTGGGAGACTGAGACAGGTCACAGAATTCCAGGACAAGCTAGACAATCATATCAGTAGAACCAGGTTACAGAAAGAAAAAGAGGGAGGGGGGTGAAGAAAGGCTGGGGGTGTGGCTAGGAGACAGAGGACTCGCTTAGCAAGATAACTTTATGAGTTTAATTCCCAATAGCACACAATACGTCCACAGGTTGCCTCACTCTCCTGGTGGACCCTTCCGTGGGCATCTTTCCATATCTCCTCGGTCGGTACTTTCAGCCCCGCACTTCTTCTAATGTAGACATTATCTATTCTCTGATCTCTACTCAAAGGAGCCCCTAGAGCTTCCAGCCGCCCGCCCCCCATCCCTTTAGTAACCTCTGACTCCCAAGGGCCCCACAATTTCCTCGGTGGGTCCCTCGTCTCCAGCATATTAACTCCGGCCGCCCCCTCAACCCAGGAATCCCCATCTTGGGAGTCCCAGCCCCACGGACAACCTTCTCCCCAGACACCCTTCTCCAGATCCCGGCTCTCCTCAGGACTCTCGCTCTGCTCAGGACGCCCACCCCACAGATCACCTCTTTCCTGAGGACCCCCGCCCCAAGGCCGCTCGTTGACTCGCGCAGTCCATCTCTGCCTTCACTGCGCGGGCCCTGCACCACCACACGCCCCCATCGCGGCCCTTACCGCACATGATGCTGGTCGAGGGCCGAGGGCCGAGCGGTCGGGCGCGCGAGAGCTTCGGAAGAGAGGACGAGCTCGGGCCGGGGTGGCGGCGATGAGGCAGAATCCGGGATGCGACAGCTCGGACACGACTGCCGGACTCCCGGCTCGTCCCTCAACTGCCGCCCCGCCCCCGGCAACGCGCGCCGCCGCGGCTTTCCCATTGGGTCGCGCCCGCGCCGCTCACGCGCAGGCCTTGCCCCCGAGGCGCGCAGGCGCGGAGCGGCGGGCAGCGAAGACGTGGCAGGGGCTCGTCCCGCATCCGGCTCAGGTTCCTGGAGCCGCCCGCCGAGGGCGAGCCGTGCTGTGGAGGCGGAGTGGGAATGTTTACAAAACTATTTGCAGCCCGAGAGGAGGAGAAAAAGAAAGAAGAAAGCGGAGGGCGGAAGGGAGAGCCTGGGACAGACGCGTCAGTGTGCTTCAGGAACGGCGGCCGGAACTGGGCGGTGGCACAGAAGTGTGCGAGCCTGCAGGCCGCCTCGGGGCTGCCTTTCCAGTGACGACCTGAGCCGACTAGAGGGAGTCGTGGGCATGGTGCACCCGCGATCGCTCATGCCATAAATGAGCGAAGAGAGGAAACGTGTTCCTGAGAAGTTATCGGGCGTTTGCTTCAGGAAGGTTTAAATAGTACCTTCGGGCAAATGTAGCTGGTTATCAGCCCTGTGTTGATAGCTCTAAAGGAAATAAATGTATAGGACCAGCGAGAGCAGATGTGCTGACCGCTGTTGAATAATCTCAGCTTGCCCCACCTTCTTACCACACGTACGAGCCCTGCGTGCCCTCTCACGAAACCGACATTCAAACCACACACCTGTATTACTCTGCAGAGTCCCACATCCCTGCCACTTTTAAAAGCAACCTCTTTTTGTCTTACCCAGAAGGCTTTAACTTTTCATCCACTGGTCTACCTCAAACAATAGGCTTCTATGTTAACGGCTTTTTTTCTCCCTCCCACTAAGTTCTAAGTTCCTTTATGAAGTAGTGGGGTTTCGAACAAACCACCTGCCTAATATAGACCCTAGCAAGAGGTAGAGAAATGGACCTCTGGATAGACACCTTAGCCTAAAGACCAACTCGGGAGACCACTAGGATGCTGCTGCCCAAGAGTCCAGGTGTGGTTTAAGTGCTTTGCAACCCTTGTGTCCTGGCAATAAACCTGTTGATGCCACAAAGAAAATGGCAAAAGTACTAGCGAACTGTTCCAACTATAGTAATGTGTCCAGCTGTTTCTGCCCGCTATTGGCTCAGTCTCTGATCCATCTCCATTCTACTATCTCGGTAGATGCTGGGCACCAGTTGAAAGGAAACTATAAAGGCCTAAAATGTTATCCAGCTCAGCCTTGAACAAGCTCACTAAACCACCAGGACAAAGAATGCTTTGTAATGATGTGCCAGTTAAGACACTGCCCCTCCTCTATGTAGAGCTCTGCCTTTGCTGGGCCTGTAAAAATAAAGCCTAGAGGAGAAAATAAACGACATGTGAAGGAAAGAGGGCATCTGAGTCTAATTTGAACATCTGAGACCATGGAAAGGATTTTTTTTTTTTTTAACCAAACAGCTCTGAACAAATTTAAGAAAGGAAGGGGAGGAGATTAAGTAGCAGTATGACCTTATTGTGGCTCTATTTGAAGTCTGTGATTTAGTGGATGAGGGGTAGATTTAAAATGGTTAATTGTATGTATCAACCTAGATGGACCATTTTATACAATTATTTAGCCAAACATTCTAGATGGTTCTGAAAGCATGGATATTTAATTCCTAGAGCAGACAGCTGGGAGTAGACTTCCAATCAGCTGTAGGTCCTAAGAACAAGACCTATGTCCCTAAGCAAGACCTTGGGAGCCTCCAGGCTTCAGATCTGAACATCTGCTCTCCCCCCGAGTCTCCTGTTCAACTCCATCCTTCAGGTGTGGAATTTGCCAGGCTCCATAGTATATGCAACTATATGTGTACATGATCTTTCTCTGCATATTTTACATATGTACACAGCACACTCAGGAAAACCAATATTTTTTTCCTAAAATGGAACATATCTTTTTTTCATAAACTTTACAAATGACAACAAAAACTTATGTGAAGAGGAGGATTTATTAGCTGACATTAACTATGAGAAGCAGGGACACAAACATCTTTGGTCACGTCTATGTAGAAACCAGTCAATGATGTAGAACTCTGTCACCTGTCACCTGTCATCTTGAGGACAGGGAAGAATGACCTCAGTTCTGGAAATACCTGCAACTTCCACCCCAAGACTGGGGTTCTTCACTTCCTGCCTTCTAGGTGAGGGTTCTAGGCCAATGTGAGACAGGTGCTCTAGTCCTGTGAAAAGGAGGGTTGAGAAATAGTGATTGATGGCTCAGTTTTCCAGAGGAAAGGGGGAGATGCTAAAAGAATGAGAAAAAAAACCAACCAACCAACAAAAAAAAAAAAAAAAAAAGATCAAGAGGCTACAAAGGCTGCCCGCTACTTTAAGTAGACATGGTCTGCTCATCATCATCCTAGAACAATGGATACTCACTCCTAACTACAAACAGGATTTACCTCTATTTTCTCCTCCAGGAGGCAGGTTCTAGAAGAGTTTTCTAGTTTTGCTAAGAAGGAACTTAACACACAGAAAACCAAGAGACCAGCTGGTCCTACATTTATTCTGCCATTTCTGTCCCATTACATGTAGAGACAGAATAAGGGGTTGACCTTCCAGGGAACTGCTGAGAATGGAAAGACAGGAAACAAGGATAAAAATAACTCCTCTCTGTAGCTTCAAACGTTGTTTTGGACAGCTTGTGTACCCGTGAGATATCACAGGTAACTGTGTGTGGAAAAATGGAGTATAAAGCAGGAGTTTCCAACAACAGAGGCAGACTCCCACTACCGAGTAGGAACCTCATATTTGGTGATGAAACACCCACATGCATGCCCTACTGATCTGGTGTACTGTTGCTCTGCACTAGTGCCTCCTCCCTCCTTGATGAAGGCCCAGAACCCCGAAAGCAGACCAAGGGGCTGTGCACACAGCAATGGAAAATGTCTACTGTGTACTTCCACTATCACACCTATTAAAACAGGGGTAATAGTTACCTACCTAATGGGATTTAGTAAGTTTCTAACTGTAAGGTGCTGTTGCATACTGAATCAGCAATGGAAATGTACTACTTTTTGCATAATTACTCCCATATGACTTTATATACAAGCCCCCTACCCAGCATTTCAAATTAAATGGCTAGTGAAAAGTCTGTGAGCATTCTGCAGAGCACTTTACCCTACACCATCAGCAAGGAACATCAGATCCTATCTTGTTAATAACCAAGAATCCTGGTTTCAAATACCTAGTATTGGCCTCCACTACTGTTTTTCTATTCTGGGCTGGGGAGTAAAACCTAGGAATGAATGAAATATATATATATATATATATATATATATATATATATATATATATATATATATCTCAAACATCCTATCAGTATAATATCCTCGGTAACTCTCTCTCCCATCTTTCTCTTGATTTTTTTTAGACATGATTTTGCTAAGAGGCCAAACCTGGTATTGAACTTGTGATCCTCCTGCCTTCACTAGTTTGAACCTGGCTTTTATAAAGCATTTTCAGTAATACTTATACAACAATAGTTTATACATTTCTGGGAAACTTTTGTTTCTATTTTTATTTTAGCTAAGCACAATTAATGATGTTTATTACCAATGTTTTGGTTTCTTTGAGACAGTTTCACATAGCCCCCATGGACTTGAACCCTCTGACCTTGCTGTCCACCCCTAGAGTGCTGGGATGACAGGCATTCATCATTGCAGGCACAAAAAAACTATTACCTGATTAAATTACACCTTATAAGGCAACCACTAACAGAACAAATGTTTCAACCTATTGATTTTATTTTCTAGATCCAATTAATTGAAAAATACATGCCAATTTGTCTAATTTGAAGGCAGACACTTAGCAGCCTACCACAAGTCACAAACCAGTAAAACTGTTAACCAAGGGCTCTATGGTCCATCTAGATCTGTTAGAGTGCAGTAATTCTCAATTCCTGATAAGACAGGCCCTCCTGAGCTGAGCTGTCCTCAGGCTGCTCTGGGCTGGCCTAGGCACTCAGCCTGGTCCCCCTACCAAGACTGTGTTCAGTGCACTGCTCTCCCCCAACCACAACACCCAGGCTGTACTCAGTGCTCTGTTTCCCCCCAGGCTGTACTCACTGCTCTGCTCCCCCCCCCCCAGGCTGTACTCAGTGCTCTGTTTCCCCCCCCAGGCTGTACTCAGTGCTCTGTTTCCCCCCCCAGGCTGTACTCACTGCTCTGCTCCCCCCCCAGGCTGTACTCAGTGCTGTTTTCCCCCCCCCCCAGGCTGTACTCAGTGCTCTGTTTCCCCCCCCCAGGCTGTACTCAGTTCATTGCTCTCCTCCCTCCCACTGGGCTGTACTCAGTTCACTGCTTCTACCCAACCCTCTTACCCCCCTCCCCCGCCCCCCCAGGCTGTACTAAGTCACCACTCTTTGTGCTTCTCATGGTATTATAGGCTCCTGCACCTGGGTCAGTCATCAGCTGCCATTTTAAACCAGAATTATGTAGCACTTTTTTTTTTAATAAACTAAAAACTGCAGTAAAAAATAATTTTGGATATCTCATAGGAAAAACTAAGTCCTTTTAGAATATTTTAAAAGCATTCTTTCTATTTCTGTATGTTAAAAAAAAAGGCAAATGAGTTAAATAGGAAATTTATTTTAAACTGCTTCACATAGCATGCAAAGGAAGAACCAGCAGAAATGAGGAGTAAAAATAAAAGAAACCCCTAGATAAAATCCACATGTGTGGACAATGACTCAGGACGGTATAAATAACTTGTGAGGTACAGCAAATTACATTTATATCATTCTGGAGGAAGGAAACATTTTATTAACCACCTTCCATAGCAGAGATTAATAAGTCTTTATACAGTCAAATCCAAAGGTTTTGGCCAATGAAAATTTGGATTATTTAAGGTGAATTTGCTTCTTTTTCATCTGATTCGTCATCCATCACCTAAAACCAGAAAACAAAAAATTCAAGAGTTAAGAAAAAAGTTAGAAACTGTTATTTTCCTTAACTTAACATCCCTTGCCTGCCTGAAA